CTTATTACTTCTTCTGTAACGACAGCCTTCAGCAGTCAGCAAATAGCCTTTAATTTCCAATGTGAAATATGAAAATCAAACAAAAGCTGCTAATACAAGACCTGCAAAATTTTTCCCAGATGGACCTCTGAAATCCCTCACTGCTCTGGTTGTACTTCAGTATTTCTTTTAACGATAGGAGGAGAAGCCAAGGCAAACACAGCTCACTATCCTTTCCCCATCCCTAGAGCTGCCGTTATGCTCTTGCAGTTGCACTGCAAACAGCCACACCAAAATGGACAGGGGATTCTAACAAGGCTACAATTATTTCTCTCACTTCATTCATGAAGATGTCACATATCTGTGCCTAAGCAACAAACTGCACAGGTTTGGGCAACAATCCATGCCTCTTCCACCCATCCCTAAAAGCAAGAACAGACTTACAAACTTGCTCTGTGCTCCTATTCATGAGTTGCCATCAGCTAAGGGAGTAACCAATTTAGTTGGACATAATCTCTCCATCCAGAGATCTTTTACAATTAAAGCAGAGAATGACTTTGATGTTTGTATCAAAAGTAAGAATCGGGAAATTATAAGACAGGAGTACACAGGCATTGAGAGCATTTGGTGTAATACCAATCAGCCTACAATACACAAACCTACTGTAAAGGTACTAAATATATCAAATGCCCAACCCAACTCTCACACGCTTCTACGTTCCTAAGTGGTGCCTGCAGGGGAGGCACAGCCAGAGATCAGTCCTGCTGCACGAGGCCTGTCTGGCCTGTGTAGCCCCGATCAAATCTCGGTTCTGTTCTGACCGGCTCTGTGGAGATGGCTCTCCTGGGACCAGCTGGCTTCCAAGAGCGACTACAGTAACAGCTTTGTACCAAATCTGATGTCAAGAAGACCCAAGGGATCCATGAAAGGACTCTCCTTCATATTTGGGCAGATCCCAAAGCTAGTCCAGACATAGTCCCAGACACTTACTGCTTCCTCTGTCATTCTTGAGAAACCACTTGCTCCCGCGCTGCCAAAGCCTTCCAGCCACCCAGCCACAAACGCTCCCAAGCTGCAGCCAGTCACGCTCCACTCAGCCTTTGCCAGCACTCAGAAATCCCTTCTCATTCACAGAGTTATTTTCTTTGTTCGTTGCTTCAAAATGTCAGTCATTACTGCAATAACTATGAAGCACTGAGAAGGGTAAAAAAAGTTTTACTTGCAGTGATAATTGTATGCAAAATATCTTCCATCTTGCTTGACAAGCATCACACAAAGCCAGTAAAAGAGGGAATGATTTGTGCAACAGAAGCAAATACAGCATAGAGAACGACAAATAAACACCAAAAACCAGCACAACTGTATCTTAAGTCATCCATAAGCACTGATTGGCAAGTGATAAAATAGAAAATTCCAGTCAACATGAAATAACGCACACAGAAAAAATGCAGCCCTAACGATACCTACACAGTCACCGGCTTCACAGAGTCTGTATCACACAGAAGAGGCATTAAAATCACTGGGAATATTTCTATTAAAATGCCCATTTAGTATGCTGTATTGAAGAGAAAGACAATGTTGACCACTGTATATGGAAGCAAGAATGAAAAGGATCATGTTAGTATTACACTAATCTACTCTGCTCCCACAGCTCATGTTCTGCAGTGAATTCCCATACTTTGTCTGGAAGGAGGTAGAAAGAGAATAATAGGGGAAAGAAAACATGGGAGATGAGAGATAATGATCCCCTGTGAAAAGAGATAATAAAAGATTGGGACTCTTCAGCAAGGGATACAGATACTAAAGAGAGAAATACAACAGAACAAAACCGTAATTTACATAGGAAGTGTGAATAAACGTTCTCTGTTCACTTCTCCATAAACCAAGAGCCAGGGCACCAAATCAAAAACAAAAAAAGCTTTGAAACCTCTACTGGCAATTTCAAACAGAGGACACAGTTTTTCTTCTAGACAGAGCACGTTAAAATATGGGATCTGTACCAGTGGACGGTATGGAAGCGGCAGGAGCGGAGTGGCTACAACCAGATTACACAGACTGACGGAGGACAGCTCCATCATGGGCAAGGAAGGGGCCCCTGCACATCTCCCTGCTGGAGGCAGGGACAGCACACTGAAGAGACTATTGCATTCTTTCCTTTTCTTTTTTATATTTTCCTAAATGTTGCTACCACAGACAGCATGATGAACTACACGTAATTCTGAGCAATGTGCCCATTACTTGAGTAAAGGGAAAACAACCTATAATGTCTTTTGAAACTATGTTTTATCCTACATTTTTCATATATATGTATCTTTTCACGTACTCATTTAATGAGCAATCATTCACATCATTTAATGAGCAATAGTTGTGTGTGGTTTTTTTTTTTTTTTCCTCAGGGTAAATTCGATTAGCATAAAAAGACTACAATTAAAACAGCTTGCAACCATCCCATGACCCATACAGAGCTGGAAAGGGAATAACTTCCTGTTCTATTCATGGTAGAAAATAATTATTTCTGTGTCTGATAAAGGTAGTTACATATCCATTTCCAATAAATCCCATGCCTCCCACATGCTGCTCTGCTATTTCCTTTCTCCAGCTGCCCTTCTGCAGCTGCTCTCTAGAATTAAAAGCAAGATGTAGCTGTGCAGAAGTCTTACCCCTGTTTGAATAAGAGACAGGTCTAATGGGACAAGAATTGAGCACTCTTTTACCAAAACCAGTGTGGGAAGAGGCAGGCACAGGCTGTAACAGAGGCACTGAGAACACCTCAGCTCGAGAGGCTTGAGATTTTCCGCTGGAGACGCATGACTGAACATCACATTACAGCCACTACTTCTGCCCACTGTAAACTCGGAACCACAAAGCTGTCACTATTACACCCTGGAGCAGAACCTTGCTTTGCAAGATACCAAACCATCGAGCAAAGTGGCTTACAAACTTTATGACTCAACCTGGAAACTAAATGGCAACTAAAAACCCATTCCTTCAAGATGCTACACCAGCAGACAAAGCTGAACACCATAATCTGCTAGAGATTTGTCACGTTGTCTGTCCCAGTATTCTTCCTTCATATTAAAGCTTTAACTGAAAACAGCAATTCATTCCTATAAGCTAAAAGACAATCTTTTCAATGTATTACTATAAGCTAAAAGACAATTTTTTCAAAGTGATAAAGGCATTTGTTTAGATGTCGGTAGTCCAAAACAATCCTCCAAATAAATTTAGTCATTTCAGAAGAGCACAGATTTTGCTTGGTAAAGATGTTGCGTATCCTGTTTTCCCAATAATCTTCATTAAAAAAAAAATTTCTCTTTTATTCTATTTTACATATTTTACATGTCACAGTAACTGCTGATAAACACTGTTCATCAAGGAATTTACCAGAATACCACAAAACCATGATCTCTACAAATATCTGCACCACTCTACAAACTCTCTCCTGGTATATTTTTTGAAAAGGAAACCAATTCTTTCAATCCCATGAGCTGCAACCAAAGCGTGTTCATTCAGGCTGCTGAAGAGAGCAAGGTACTTTCCCTCTCGCCTAACTCCTTACTGAAATCCCAGACAATGGCAGCATTTATACAAACATAGCACACCTTGCTTTGCTAAACTAAAGATCACCTCATCTTTTACCATGAAAAAAAAAAAAATATATTTGTAAAAAAAAAAAAGAGCCATATGCTGCTGTCTCAGTTCATTTCAAAGCCAGAGTGCTTTGCAGAGTGACAAGCAGCACACCCATGAGCAGAATACAGCAGTGCCCCGCCACAAGACACTCTCCAGAAGACTATAAAAGCCTGTCTGATAAGAATGATGTTTCTACTTACTCCAGAATTAAGATTAATATAAGAACATTGGCACAGAGCTAAGCCCATGCTGACAGGCCTAGCTGAGTGAGGCAAATATATCACCTCTTGACATAAAGCAAGCATCTCTGTGCAGCAGAGCATTATCGAAATGTCAATAACACAGTAAAAACCAACAATTAACCCAAGAATGTTGGAGGAGCACAAAGGAAAAGCCTCATTCATATTTAACAACTGTTAAGACTTTGCCCCCACAGCTGTGCAGCTGGCTGCGAGCGTGGCTTTGAAGGATATACACATTCTCTATAGGGGGCTGAAAAGAGGCCAAAGGAAACAGAGGATTCGAGAGAGGAAATAGAGAGCCTCACCATACTGAGCTCTCAAAGCCAGGAACTAGCTTTCTGCAAGTTATCTGCGTGAAACACTCTTTGGCAGCCCATCTGCAGCCAGCGCGGAACAGGGCGCTCCGCGACGCGTTTTCCCAGGGTCTGCAGGCGCAGCTCCTGCCCGTGCCTGGGGGCTCGCAGCGTCCTCCCTGGCACACACACAGCCTGGGGCCAGCTGCTGGGCACACCTCCTGCATTCGGACAGGGAAATCCCACGGCTCCCAGGAAAGCCTCTGAACAAGCCTTCCTTCACCTCGTCAAAATGTATGCACTCAAAACTACGAGTAGCCCAAAGAATATGCAGAATTTAGTCTGCTAAATTTGAGCTGGTGAACACCAAATGGAGCTCAGTGTACTTATTCATCTCAAGTTCCTTTTGTCAATAGCTTCTTTCTCCAAGGCTCATCTGGAAGTTCATCCTTCACTGCCACCACCAAAGTTCATCGGCTTGTTAGGTGCAGGCTCACAAAAGCCTTGATATGATCTGTTCTTAGTACCCAAAGAACTTCATTATTCTATTTGGGAGCTTTTGCTCAAGAACCCTTCTGGTCATCTCACCTCTGAGAGAAATTCATAATTAAATTGGAGTAAGCAAAGCAAAGTTTATTACTATAATCACAACCAAACCTACCGTCTGTCAAGCCATTACTTATGCCAGTCAACCAAAGCTGTTAAAACCAGCTTTTTACGGAAAATAACATCAATTTAGTATATTCCAAGTAAGGACAAATAATCTTTATGTTTTTCAATGCAGCTCAGCTCACAACAACCTCCAAGTCCTTTTCCTATGCTTCTTAAAAGCCAAAAGTAAGAAGCTACATACCACTGATGGCACTCAGCACTTTGATCCCACTTCTGTAAGGCAATTTCTATCTCTTCTTTCCCTGCAAAAAAGTGGTCAGAGGTAAGAACTTCAGCCGCTTTCCCTCTTAACTTCTTTCTCGAAGGCTGTTAGAGTACAATAATAGAATGGCATAGAAGTCATATTTGTTATTTTTATAATACTTTTGGCTTGAAAATGTCCTGTAAATAACTCCATGCTCTTGCAGTGAAATGGAACATCCAAGATCACTTGAAGAGATCATGCAAATTTTTAGTACAGTAGCAAGTTGTGTTGACTCATCAACATGGTTTCACCTTATTTGGAAGCACAGTTATCTATAATGAAAACATCTTCCACACCATGTTAAGAAAAGTTAATTAGAGCTTTCGGTGGTTTTGTTCCGATGCATTTCACAGCCTCAGACCTAGGACCTGCCTCACTTCCCCTTCTTCTCTCCTCCAAGAACCTGTAGCCTCAAAAAGCTGAAAACTCAGTGTCAACTGAAGGCTAAACAGACTATCAAAATAAAACCTTAAATTTTATGCTTTAAATGGCTACACTGATTTCCAAAAAGGAATAATTATATTAGATAGTTATAGTATTAACTCACTATATTTATTTATGTGCATAATAAACAGGACAAATTATTTAGAATAGTATTTTTCTTTGTTGCACATCTTAACTGTAACAGAGATGACTTTTTGTTTTATTATGACCCACCTACAGCCTCGCAAACAAACCACATTTGAGCTGGTGAAGAACAAGAGAATGAAACTAAACTGATTCCTCTCAGTAAACACGTTTAAAAATAAATTTCTTTTTTACTTCTACATGTGTTAGCAAGACAAAATTAAACGCATTACAGCAAAAACTTCTCTTAATACCACACAGAATACAAATGATAGGTTTGAGAAAAACTTTTACAACTTCAACTAGCCCTTGGTCTCATTACACTATCTTTCAGAAAGCAAAAATTTTAAACACATACCACCGCAGCTCTGCTAGCTACTCGCCTAAAAAAAAAGATTACAAGATGAAAAAAACAAAAATCCACACTGTTTGCAAGCACAGGGTTTATAAACCCGGAGTGTAATGTCAGCTTTGACCATCTCCCTCCCTTTGCCTCAAACACCCACTTCCTCACCATCAGATGCGTACGATCTCTTCTCATCTGTATCTTCTGTGACTTCGCACATATCACTATGTGCTCGGGCCAGGCGCCAAAGAAAGTCTTTCTGGTCTGCATACTGCAGTAAAAGCATAAAGGTTATATATCAAAATCCATTCTGCCATTGACAAAGAACATGAGAAATCAAAAATCAAGTGGGGGCATATACTAGAAGTCACACAGGCATTTTTTGAATCCGTGAAAGGCCCCAACTCTAAAAGAACTGAAGCAGAACCACAAAAGGGCAAACGGGATGGCCAAGTTTATAATTAAGCTTACAGTGCTACACTACGGCTATGGGTTTAATTGTTGCTGCCTTCTGACAAGGAACACCTCCACTTCAGAGGCCATACTGCAGTCAGTTCTTCAGCAGTCTCTGCTAACCTCAAAACACTGGGGAGGAAAAAAAAAAAAAAAATCACTGTAAACCTCACTACATTAAAATTCACAAACTCGATTTTGCTTTTTTCATGCCTCAGTCTGCATTCAAACAGTTTCACAGCCTGCCTCGTTCCTAAAGCCGGGCAATACTGCAGGTGTACTGCTAAAATTGAAGCGGATATTTTCTGACAAACTCAAAGTTACTTAGAAAAAAAAAAAAAAGTAGAAAATTAAACCACAACCACCCTAAGTCTGGATCCTTTTGCAGTAGTATTGTAAACAAAAGAAAGTGGGAGAATCACCACAAAGAAGGATGCAAGTGAACTTCGAAAGCCAACAGGCCTGTCACTTCCTGGTGGGAAGGAAAAAACCCAATCTACTTGAAATTAGAACTGACCACATTATCTGTTATTTCTTTCCTTCTGTTCCTTGTGGAAATACAGGAAACAAAAAAGGCTCTATAAAAAGCTGGTAACCCAAAATGTTTTCTTTGCTGGCTGCGCAGCACTCGGGTAAACACCAGCAGAGGCTGATGGTGCAACTGCAGCGGGCCCAGGCGTGCCGGCGCTGGCAGGTCACACCGGCCGCAGCAAGATGCTCGGCCGTGCCGGGTGCCTGTGGCCAGGGGTGGGAGCCAGCCACCCGCTGCAGCTCGGGCAGAACTGGCACTGCCCCCTGCTACGTCCCCACAGCCCAGCGCCAGCGCTCGCCGCATCAGGGGATCGATGCCCATCGCCTGTACTGTATGAAAACCCCACATTCTTCAAAGTGGCAAAACACCTGCACCATCCAGGTTTTTCACCTCGTTAGCTAAGACACACCTAAGTGTTGTCTGAGCCCTCTGTCGGAACACCCAACTTATTTATTTCACGAACCACCACACACGTGCACTGGGTGGTCCTCGGAAACACCAAGTTTCCTGAATACAGATCGAGCCATTGCACATGCAACAAGGTAAACGCTCTCAAAACATTTGCTGAGTTTACTGTATACACACAATACTGTTCCTTTACACATGTACAGTGCATTCACTCAGGGAAAGTGATGACATGATGAGACACAGAGTTCCAAGACAGAAAGCGACTGGGAACCGGCTGCTGCTGTAGCCCGAATGGTTTTGGCCTTCAGCCCACTCCCAAGGATGGGGGCCACTGGAAGCTGGCCCAGGCGCTGTGCAGGGCCTGAACCCTGCTAAGATATGCAACTGCCTCTTTCCCAGCTATTTAGCTGAAAACACAAATCACTGCTGGAAAATATAAAAAGGCAACCTTTACCGCCAGTTTATTATTCAGCAGCAGCTGGAATCCCTCTCTCTTGTCCTGCTCATCTCCGTCGTGCAAGCGGTCAGCCTGCTGCAGTAGCTGACCCAGCTCTTCCTCTAGTGAGGAATCGAGGATTAAATGTGGTTCATCCTCATTGACAAGATCCAGGGAATCCCGCCGTGCAGTTCTCACTGTTTCACAGCTCACTTCGTCTTCCCCTTCTTCGCTTTCTCTCTCGGACTCCCGGTCGTAATCAGACTCAGCATTGGCTGTGGTGTATCTTTGAAAAAACAAACAAACAAAAAAAAAAACACAACAAAAAACCACCAAAATCAAAACAACCCATAACGCAAAATTAGTTTGAGGAGATGTGGTGCAGCCTATGACAGTTTTATACATCTGGTATAGAAAAAAAAACAACTCTTCCTAAGAGAGGAAGAGGAGTTTCTTTCTTTATCCTGGGGAATACTGTACAATCCAAGTGTCTCAAACAGCACACCAATTGTTATTTCTCATATATTATACCCAACCTCAAACAGCTGAAGAAAGAAGGCCCCCCAAAAGTTGAGCAGAACTTGGTCACCAACGTCCACATCTCTCTCAGACACCATAACAACTTCTCTTAGACCTTCTAACTTCAATGTAAGAGAATTAAACTAAGAATAAGACAGGACAATTCACTTAAACGTATGGATTATAAAAGAGAATTTCAACTGAAAAATCCAACACGCTCACCCATGTGGAAAATATAACCTGAGGTTTTTAGCCTGTTCCAGGAAATTTCAGACACAATGGCTGTTTTGGCAATATCTAGTACGTCCACTGTCTTGTCTGAGCGCTAAATACAAAACAGCTTGTTCACACTGACGTGTGAAAAGGTGCAAACCAGTAGAAGAGGGAGCAAAACTATTTCACATGAGCAACAAGTCCAGAAAGGAGACAGCAGATGAGCCACAAAAAGACACCACATGTACAAAACCCCAGGCAGTGATTAGCTGCTAAATTAGTCAAATGAACCAAGATAAAGCTCAGCTCACAGTTTCTGAAAATGGCTAGAATCAAGCCTCCCCAAGCCATATACAGGCACATAAGCTGGACACTTAAAACAGCATTATGTATTGACCACTACCATTGCAGTGGGGTGCCTACTTACAGAGCTAACTTATTTTTGAGGAAGGCTCCCTATTTGTCTCCCTCACATTTATCTGTAAGCTTTTAACTGAAGAATAAGCACAAATCAGCCAGTAATTTAGGAATGTGCACTTCTGTATTTGGATTTTGTTGGTTTATCTGAATAGAAAGCTCTCTTCCCAAAGCAAGCTACTTCAAATCCCATAAACAATTCTAGGGGAAGTTTTAATTGTTACCAATTAAACTGTGCCCAAGCCAACCTTACAAGTTCTTCGAGAATTGAAAGTCATTGCAGCCTGGAGGCATTCAGTATCCACAGCTGCAGTCTCTTTGGTCCTGGCTGAATTTCTCCTCTGAGGGAGAGCCTCACACTGTGTATGAAGCTGCCTTTGTCTGGAGACAAGGATACGTGACCAAAGACCATATCGGAAGAAAGCAGTTATGGTAACTTGGCCAAACATAGATAACAAGACACATTTGGCTATCAAAGCTTCAATTTTCCAAGAACCATCAAGAATGCTCAAGCATTTCCCTCTCTGGTAGAGGGTAAACAAATACCCTCAACTCACCACAGCCTCCAACCCTCATCCATAAATTTAAAAACACACCACTCTCTGTACTGAAACATTTTAAGACAAGAAATAAAGTAAAAGTCAGCCTTATCTCTGCAAGTCCAGGAAAACAAGCACTACAAGATGATATGCTGGAGACTATGTAAGCAGCACTAAACTAATGGCTAATGTAACAACATGGTGGTAGGCGACACTGGCATGACTGTTTTGTGATTAAGATTAATTTCTTGGTATTTTCTTAAGATTAATTATATTATTAGTTCGCTAGACTACCTCAGTTTCAGTACTTAAACACAAACTCCTCAAATTCTCTTATTTCCCATTCTAACCTACTAGGCAGCACGGCCGTGGGCTATGCTCACTACAACATTTTACTGACAGTTGCAAAGATTTCAGTACTTCAGCTGAAAAACACTTTCCACATTGAAGGCTCCTGAAACACAATATGGTCTTTAAAAACAGGCAGCAATGGATGGCTCCTATACACTTTTTTCCTCCACCACAAAAATGTGTTTTCTCCAAGACAGCTCATACAAGATGCTGCCAGTTTAAAAAGACAAGTAATACCATATATGACTTCATAAACGCAGAGTTTTCAGAAAGATTAAGGGATTTAGATGTTATCAGCCTGTTCTCTCAAGTTTACGATGATGGAAAGTTCTTAAATGCTTTAGTATGTTGAGGCCTCTGGCTAGCACACATCCTGAAGGAAAATGAAAACATATATTTGGAACAAAAAAGCACATGGAAAGAGGAGGCAGAGAAGCCCAAAAGACCAACACTGTGCCAAAGCAATATAGAGAAATTAAGCAGCCCAAAACCTCTGGGCTCCTGAAAGCTCGTGATGATTTTTGTGAATTGTATATGGAATTGGAGAAGATGCTTATATCCATGTGGTTCACAAAAAGCTGAAATGTGAGTTCTGCCTTCTGAATGTCATTAAAATATTACAATTGCCAGAAATGAATGCACAGCTGAAATTTATCTGTGGAGAACAGTCTCATTCTTCCTCCCAGTGGCTGCTAAAAAGCTTAGTCTTTCCCAAAATTTATATTTCCTACTCCGAACTTCTAGTAGCAAATTTTAGTATTTACATCTCTAAAAGACAATATTGCACACTAAAGTCAGCTGGTCCTGAATAGACTAATATTACACCTAGTCGCATAGGACAAATACCAGAGTGAGAAATTATGTACTAGTCAATGTGCGTGGGTTTTTTTGTTTTGGTTTGGGTTTTGGTTTTTTTTTTTTTGTTTGTTTGTTTGTTTGTTTTGTTTTGTTCTGTTTTTTTTTAAATCAGGCGAGAGCTGCTTATGCACTAATTCTCCACACTTGTCATTAAACCTAATTACACACTTTAAATAAAAAGTGAGAACTCCTCCAACCATCACTAGGTTCCCAATACAGTAACGAAGGTTTGCAGCAAAATATATCCCTGCTCCACAGTTCACTTGAGGTCCCCTAAGGAGGACCACTTCTCTGAACCTTAGAAGCCCCTATCACGACATAAAATTTTCTCATGATCAGATGGCACCTAGGGCTGGTATCTGTTGAAAAAAAACACCATTTACAAAATACACTGGGAGCCTGATGACTTGATACATCTGTTATTCTCTAGATAGCAAGGTCTTCTCTTCAGAACCAACTATATAGTTTTAAAATTTATTCTGCAGCCTTGTTACCTGTTACACCATCGTGAATCGCTTACTCCCTAATTTTGCTTTCATACGAACACCCGCTTCAGATGAATGAAGCGGTTCAATATCCTGAATGAGATCACATCTGCTCTTTCCTGCTTCACCAATACCAGCTACCAAGGATAAAATACTAAAATGCCACCGAGCTATGGCAGTCACAAAGCCTGCTCTCCTGCAGATCCGTGTCCTTTGTTCTAGGAGGCTGCTCCCATAACAGTTGCTTTGTCCCCCGACGACAAACCCATGCTCCCGAGTGTCAGTCTGCACCAGCTGACTGGTCACTTGCACATCACGTCCCCATTCGGCCTGCCCTGCTCTCAGGGCCATCATTAACTTTGCTCTTTAAATCACATTCCATTTTAACTTCCCTGGGAAAACATGTATGACCAGCACTGCGTGCTTTAGAACACACATACCTCAAAAGCTACAGAATTCGTCTGATTAAGACACAGAAGAGAGGCGTTTCATCACAAAGGCAGCAGTCACACACAAGTATGCAGTAGACCTCGTAATATGACAATGCTTGCATCTATATTGTAATTTTTACTGATGTTCTTAAACTACACAGTACTTTTCACCTGTTTTTAAACTATAAATAATCAACACAACTGATCAGTGTGACACAGAAAAAAAAAATGTAAGAAATACCCTAGCTGAAGACATTTTAGTTAACTGGAATATATTTTTAACTTTCTCAAGTTTTCCAGACATTCTAAAATACATTATTGTATGGAAATTTTATTTAGAAGCTCTCTCATTCAAGTCCCAGGACTTCTACTTCTCATGTTCCCACAAGGCTCCCTAGTCAAATCTTTGCTTAAAAAAACCCCTCAAAAACTGTATTTTTTTCTTTTCCTCCTTTCTCTAAAAGTCAGAATCATTGCAATTCTCTCAATCTAGCCCTGCCATAGGTAGATTTACTGTAATAAAACCAAACAAAACCAGGATGACAGACACCTAGTGAGAAAAAAACCCGTCCTTCATGTTATCAACCGCTCAGACATCAGTGATTGGGCACCAAAGCCAGTAAAAGCTGCTTCTAGCCTGATGCTCTGCTTACCCTCCTTCACTTTCCCCATCATCTGTATTGGCTGTTCCTGAGCTGGCTGTGAAATAAATCGAACTGGAGCCTGTGGAATCACTTCTTTCTCTAGGAAAAGGGAACCGCCTCCGGCGAGTTACTTTCTGGGTTTCTTCCAGATGGGACCTTTGAGGAAGGCAAAAAGAGAAACAAATAAATATTTGATAGTGAAATGCCTGCTATTTCACTTCCCTTCCCCTCACCAGCAGGTTCTACCCAGCTCACTTTATATCAAAATGATTCATGATGTGACTTACTCTCGCTTATACAAACATCCCGCTACCATACAGCGAACAAGGTCTTCTACAGTTAAAGCAAGTCTGACAACAGACCTGGTCCATGTATGCAATCCATATACAAAGGGCTAATCATATCACACGTGGTCCTGCAATTTCCTCAGTGAACAAAGACATAGGAATCCTGAAACACCCTGCAGAACATAGGACCTTTCATTCTATATTGAAAGTTACCTACCGTTGGCAGCAATCAGAGAAAAGAGCAGTAACAAGAGACATTTTCAGAACAGATAACCTTCCCAGTCTACAATATGAAGCAAGTGTCACTACTTGCTAAGAAAAAAAAAATAACCCTGGCTAAACATACAATTTCTTTTATGTTAATCTCACTGGACATCAAGACGTAATGCCAGTGAAACCTAAAGAGACACTTTTTCCACTTTGGGATTTTAAATTGAACATACTCAACGATGGCTGCTTTACCATGCTATGGAGCAGATGTGTGCAGCAGCAGAAAAAGCCAGAAAGGGGCAGGGTGGGTTACCTGACTCCGCCAACGATCTCCGCAGCTAAGTGCTGCAGGCTGTTCCGCAGCTCCTCCACTTCTTTCCTCAGCTCTGCAATGTTTCTCAACACGACATCAAGGCGCTCCAGCACACCCGCCTGCTCCTCACACCCGAGGAGAGGGCTGCGAGGAGCGGCATCTCCCGCCTCCACGGGAACCACCGCTCCGGCCACAACTTAAAGAAAACAAGAGAAGGAGTTCATTAGATGCAAGTGGGAAAGGGCTTCGCATGGGAAGCCTTAGCACAATTTTGTTTTCAGAAGATGTAGGACATGAGGCTTGGTCTCAAGTTTTGAGGTTTTGGTTTACTGCTCCCTTCTCTGATACCAGCATCCAGCCACACTTAACAGATCTGCAATAGCAATTTGAGGTAAACAAAGCTCTGTTAACAACACTTCTATAAGAATCCCCTTGTAATTTTGTTTTTTTAAGAGCAAAATCCACACTGAATATGACAAAGACTACAGTAGATGAAGAAACTGCTGTGTTTTTTTTTAAAGTCCTGGCTGCAAATTAATTTAATTCCTATTCTCCACAATTCCGTACTAACAGCACACTGAAAAACTGCATTCTGCTTTTCTCTTGAATTGCAAACAGCTCCCCAGGACATCGAGTAAGATAACATCTGACCTTGCAATGAAGGAAGCCAATGGAAGCTAATTTTGGCCAAATAAGACCTATTCTTTAAAAGAACCCAAACCCTCTATTCTTATTCAAGGGGAAAAAAAAAAAACAAACAAACAAACAAAACAAAAAAAAACCAAACCCCAGAAACTCAAAGAGGAGACATCAGAATTTAAATAGCATTTTAGCCATTAAAATGCGTCATTGCCTTCTACTGAGTACCTTGAACCTTTACCAGTCTGTCTGACCCTTAAACCTGCTTGCAGATACAGCACGATCAGCCAGCATGTAGGAACATCTGTGGATGTGAAGTATGTTTTCTTGAAAGCTTACAAATACACTACCAGTTAAGTCAATTACTTAAGAAGGAACTGCCATTTTATATTAACAACAACAAAAAGAGAATCCCTCTCAGAAAAGCAGCCAGATTTGCAGACATGAAGGGCTTATCTTCCAGGGTACCCTGTGTTAACGTGTCTAGACTCGAGGATAAAAATCTAAATTCTCTTCAATAAAGCACTGTAATCTTTTCCCTCCTCTTCTCTAGCTCCTCAGAAGCTACGCTGCTGGCTTTGCCACCTTCCCCAGAAGGGGCTGTGCAGCCCCTCGGGTTGGTCCCAGCTCCTGCCCCGCTGCTCCTGCTCTCGCTGTCCCCGCAGACACTCCCAACCTCCCCGCTCCTGTTCGGGCCCTGCTGTTTCAGGGCAAAGTCCCCTGAAACCGGACGAGCCGATTCCTTCCGAGACATGCGGTGAGCAACCAAGGGTTGGCGTTTGCTGCAGCAGCAGCCGCCAGCCCGCCAAAGCCAGCGGGGCCTGCCCGTTCTGCTCGCACGGTACACGCTACCTGCGGCGTGCCGGGGAAAAGCGAAGGTGCGAGCACCTAAGAGCCGGTTCCGCAACACCGCGGATGAAAACACCGTTCACAGGCCGCTCCCGCCGGGTGGCCAAGGCAAGGCCTGGGATACCCCAGCGCAGATGCTCAAGGCACTGATCCTCCCCACAAGCGATTTTACTCGTAGCGCCAGCCTGCTGAGCTACCCCCGGTGCTGCCAGCTCGGCCCCGCCGCCTGAGCGGCCGCCCCGCGCACACCCGGATCGGTAAAAGCCGGCCCCGGGTCCTCGCACCGGCCCCCTTACCCGGGCTCCGGGGCTCCGCCGGCCGCCCGCCGCCCCTCCGCCGCCGCCGCAGCTCCCCGAGCAGCGCCAGCCCCAGCCCGGCGCCCAGAGCGGCGCCCAGAGCCACCCCCAGCCCCAGCCCCAGCGCCGGCCGCCCGGGCCGCGCCATGGCGGACACCGGGCTGCTGCCGCGGCGCGCGGCCGGGACGTGAGGGCGGCAGCCAATGACGGGCGTCGACGTCATCGCAGAGCGACCGGGGGGGCGGGCCTAAGGCGAAGCTGGGCACGGGGCGGGGCGGGGCCTGAGGCGGGGGCGGGGCCTGAGGCGGGGCGGGGCCTGAGGCGGGGCGGGGCCGGCAGCTGGGGCTGGGGCTGAGCCTGAACATAAATCTGAACCTAAACCTGTACCAGCACCATACCTGAGCCTGAACCTACAGCTACACCCACACCTGTACTATGCCTGAGCCTGAGCCTGAGCCTGAGCCTGAGCCTGAGCCTGAGCCTGAGCCTGAGCCAGAACCTGTACCAGTACTATACTTGAACCTGAGCCTGAACCTGTACCTGTACCTTTACCTACAGCTACACCCGAACCTGTACCTGTATTTGTACCTACAGCTACACCTGTACCCGAACCTAAACCTGAACCTAGACATGACGCTGTACCAGTACTATACCTGAGCCTAAACCTGAACCTACACCCAAACTTGTACCTGTACATGTACCTGTACCTACAGCTACGCCTGAACCTGAACCTACAGCTACACCCGAACCTGTACCTGTACATGTACATACAGCTACAGCTACACCTGTACCCGCACCTATACCTAAACCTACAGCTACACCTGTACCTGTACTATGCCTGTACCTGTACCTACAGCTACACTCGAAGCTCTACCTATGCCTGTGCTTGTACTATACCTGAACCTGAGTCTGAACCTACAGCTACACCTGTACTTGTACCCACACCTGTACCTACACCTACACCTGAAGCTGAACCTGTACCTGCACTTGTACATACACCTGCACCTGTACCCCAACCCACACCTGTACCTGCACCTACACCGGCATTTCCCCACCACTACCCCAGTCCCTACAGCTCCACACCCAGCACCCCAACACAACCACTAGCGCTGCACCCCGGCCTCACCAACCACCACTGCAGCACCACCGCCCCACAAAACTGCCCCAGCTCCCCACACCAGTATAGCAGCTGTCACCCCACACCAGTACAGCGGCTGTCACCGCACACCAGTACAGCGGCTGTCACCCCACACCAGTACAGAGGCTGTCACCCCACATCAGTACAGCGGCTCTCACCCCACACCAGTACAGCAGCTGTCACCCCACACCAGTACAGTGGCTGTCACTCCACACCAGTACAGTGGTTGTCACCCCACACCAGTACAGTGGTTGTCACCCCACACCAGTACAGCGGCTGTGCCCCTACGGTTCTGCCTGCTCTGACACCATGGGGTGTCTGGGACAAATTCTGGCAGCAGATTTCTCGGCGTGGCTGTGACGCCCAGCCCCGCCGCGCCAGCCCCTGCTCCCACGGATATTAAAGATGCTATCAGAGCATCCCCCGCCGCACTTTAATGAAAGCGATGAACCAAGCTTTCAGAAGGAAATAATTTCCGGAAAGAATAGGTGCTTTGCTCTTTTGCTTTAACCCCTTTATACCAGCAGTGAACAACCGCGCACTGCTGGGTGGGTGGATCTGAAATCCCCGCTGGACTTGATGTTCCGTTATTATCTTTTTGCCCCAAAATGTGCCAGCCCTGCAAAATGACACCCCCGCCCCGACTTGTGCCGGCGGTTTTGCTGTTGTCATCAACCCCCTGTGCAACAGCAGCCGGGGCCGTGTGGCAAGAACACCCCTTCCTGTGTCCCCACCAGTTCCTTCTGCTGGGCTGGAGGCGGGGGGTAAATCATCAACCAAGAGTGAAATCGCCGGGGGGGGAAGGACGGGGCTGGCCAGCGGCTGTGAACAATATAAATTCTAAAATCCTTCTACATCCCAGCACACCCCCCATCCAACCCACCCTGTGCAGCCCCAGAACATGCTGGGCCCTGGGTAAAACAAACGCCCTCATAGACTGATTGAAGATACTTTCTTTTCCTTAAATCCATTACTTTTCTTAAAATAACATCGTAGTTTGGTTTTACAGAGACCCCTCGGGTCTGTTCTCCCTGGCAGGCCTCCAGCAGACAGGCAGGGTGGGATGCTGAGGCCGGTGATGCTCAGCCTCACACCTGATGCACGAACCGAAGCTCCTCAAGAAGCAAAAGGGAGCCGCAGAGATTTTTTATCTTCAGCTCTACAGGGGAGAGTCTTTATTTCTCCCATGCGGCATCAACACCTGGGACAAAAATGCCTGCTTCCTCGTAAAAACGAGTCCACGACTTCATCCCCCAGAGCAGGATTGAGGTCAACAGGTTGCAAAGACCCAACGCTGTGGGGTCAGCGGCTTCTTGAGCGACTGGGGACACCTCTAAGAGGAACAGCAGTGACTTCTAAACGCATTGAGTTGCCATTGAGTGCGATACTCTTGGAATAGCCATCCTCCAGTCAGGCACAGCCATCAGCGGTTTGCTCGCCTTCCACAGAGCCGTTCACCTTCAAGAAGCAAACCCGCACCTCAGGTTCAGGGGATGCTCGTCCTACAGTGCTGCCCTCCATCCAATTAGTAATATTCTGGGCAGGAAATTTAATTGGGTGCTGCAGAGGAAGAGGGTGCTAAGTAGAAAAGGCTGCTGCTGCCAGAAGACATAAAATAAAGCTCTTCCATGCCTCTTGTAAGTGTGGGTAACGGGGTGATGATTTCTGGCAGAGCCAAAACCCCTTTTCCTTTCTTTTATGTGAGTTGCTGGGGGGCTCAGCCCAGCAGCTGCCACCGGCCCGTTCCAGCCCAGGCCCGACGCGGGCTGTGAGCAGACTGGTCAGAGACAGAGCCAAAGGGTAAGAAGTCGCTTTCAGATGATGAATGGCACCGCGGAGACACATCGCACTGAATTTTATAGCTCGCTCTCACGCCACTGCAGGGCTCAGTGCTCGGGCTGTCTCCCAGATTTCAGTATCTCATCAGGAAATTCAATACCGAGACATTGTGTGCAGGCTCTGGCTTCATTTTCCTCTCTTATCTCCCCCCTGGCCAAGAAGGAGCCGTGTATGAGCCAGACCAAGGAGTGAGAGAGAGCGCTGGGCAGGCTGCCATACAGAGTGAGCCCTGGCTATTTTTTCTTTAATTTATGGATTACTGAAGGGTCTGGATTTCATATCTGTGTTATTTTCTGTAGCCAGCGGGATGGCAACTGCAGGATCACACTTGTGTCAGAGACCTGCTGGTCGAGGTCCAGAGGGGTTACAGGATTTGGGACTCCTCTTGAAGTCAAACATGACCCAGGTGAAATGCGCAGGAGGCAGCATTTCCTTTTCATTTATTGGGTAGCAGAGGCAGTAACATGATAATTTGCCACAGTAGAAGCCAAATGTAGGTTTACACTGGAAAATAAGAGTTATGAGTAAACATTCTGACTCTTCTGGCAACAGAGAGTTTGGGAAGACCCTCCTTAGGATGGAAATTATCTAAATGAGCCAATGTTTAACCCGTGGAGTGAGGTATCCCACATACAGCTTGAAATTAATAGACTGGGATATTTGGGGCACGTTTTAGGAAGATGATACCATCGCCTCTGTTGGTTATTTCCTTTTGTCATGACAAGCCCAACAAACTTGTTAATAACAAACATGTTAATAATAATGTTAATGATAATGGTTAGCAAAGTTTGCCTTTGTTGGAGTGTTTCCTTTAGCCTAGCAAGCAGAAATGTTATTTATCTCCCTTGCTCCCTGTTGGAGTTACTGATTAACGTGGGGCAGCACAGAAGAACCGTCCCAGGTCACACAGGAGGGACACGGCACAGCACAGCCCGGGCTCTTCCATGCGGGAACAACCTCCTCCTGCTTTCTCCTGCAGTCATTTATCTCTGGAGTTTATTATCAAAACTGGGAATTGATTACAGCTTGTTAATAGTTTCTGGTGAGCTGCATGGAGAGGTTTCTGTTCCAAGTTTTGATGCTATTATTTTGAAACACCTCTGTCTGTCCTGGCCACAGGAAACGAGCTTCTCCTCAAATTTTGAAGGGATTTAAATCTCCATGTTTCCAGATAAAAGCTCAACAGCCCATAGAAAAAAGGACTTTTTTCCCCAATATGTTGGTTATGCCAAACACCCTGTTTCAGGGGATTGTTGGGAAGGGACCCCCGGATGGTACCTGGGATGCTCTGTGGGGTCCAGGGCTCCCCGCTGCCCGGCTCCCAGTCCTCACCTCCCCGTCCTCACCTCCCAGTCCCCACCTCCCAGTCCCTCATCTCCCAGTCCTCACCTCCCGGTCCCCCATCTCCCAGTCCCTCATCTCCCAGTCCTTCATCTCCCAGTCCTCACCTCGCAGTTCCCCATCTCCCGGTCCCCCATCTCCCAGTCCTCCCCTCCCTCCCCTCCCAATCCTCACCTCCCAATCCTCCCCTCCCCGTCCCTCCCCTCCCAGTCCCTTATCTCCCGGTCCCGCCCCCCGGCCCTACCCCCGGCTCTGCCCCCCCGGCCCCGCCGCCTTGGCGGGAGGATGCCGTACCTGCTCATCAGCACACAGATCCGCATGGTGAGTCCGACCGCCCCCCCCCCCCCCCCCCGGGCACCGCTGCCCCGGGCTGGGCTGCAGATGCTGGGAGCGGGGGGGGGTTCTGGGGATGATGCCCCGCAGGTTTGGGGGACCCCCGGCACGGCCACGCCACGCGCCGGCTTGCCGGTGCGGGGTGCGCAGAGCGGCCCCGGGGGGGGGGGGCGGAAAGGAGGGGGGGGGCCGTACCCCGGCTCCTTCCCCAGCCCCCCAGCAGCCGCCGACGGAACCAGGGCAACTTGTTGCAGGACCCCGCGAACGTCAAAGGAACAAACCTCGGGCCGCGTGTCCTCACTCGAGGTTTCCCTGCCTTCCCCAAATTGGCCGTTTTGGGGTGGAAAATGCCGCCGCAGCGAGGGACGGGAGCGCTGGCAGCAGGGGATGGGATCTCTGCCCCCCCCGGCCTGAGAGCGCAGCCCGTTATTCTCACAGAAAGTCGTAAAGGAAACGTTATTTCCTAACGATTGCAGCACGGAGCAGTTGTCCTGCCAGGGCTGCGAGAGCAGATAGCCCTGGGTTTGCCTGGGGTTTGTTAACTTTTCCCGACACGAAGGGGAACTATCCGCCTGAAAGCCAAAATACGGTGATGTGGCTTCGCGGCAGGATGGGGCGGGGGGGTAACGGTGAAAGGGGCAAATGAACAAATCAACACCAGGCTGGCAGGAGCTTGGTGAAAGAGGCGGCTGCGGTGGCTGAGGATGTGCCGTTACGCAGCCATCCCGAACCAAGCGAGCAGCGAGCCGAGGCCGAGGCCGAGCGGAGATGCTGCCGCACCGGAGCGTCTGCCGGCGGTGCTGCCCGGCACCCTCCGAGCTGACCCGGCCGTTATGGGCCGAGGTAGAGGAGGTGCCACAGGGTTGGGGTTCAGAGCACTTCGGGGACAGGCACGCAACGGCACGGACTGGCTGAGCGTGGCTCAGCACCTTTCCCCTCCGGACACTCTGGGAACTCTGCTCTTTAGCAGGGCAAAGCAAACATTTCCAGCCTGAGCCTTGGCATCGAGCCGTGGCTGGAAATGGCCCGTCCTGGTGCTCGACTTTGCTGCTTTTTGCTGGTGGCAGCTGGGGCTGGGCTGGGTCCCGGCTCCTGTGGGGGTGGCGGTGCTGGGCTGCGCAGGGGCTGCCAGCAGAAAAGGCTCTTCCTCCCTTTCGGTGCCTGCCTTTTCATCTGCACAGCTCGTGAAAAACCTGCGAGTAGCAGTGCTGCGTAAGCGCTTCTCCCTGGGGTCTGAGCGAGGCTCCTGATTTACATGCGATTTGCCGGTGCCCATTTAGGTGGGTGCTGTTGGGGGGGGGTGTGTGTGGGTGTGTTGACCCTCTCCGCTGTGCTCAGTCCTCACCCATCCGCTCTCCCCAAAGCAGCTCTCAGCTCTCCCAGCCACGCAGAATTTCTCTGCTTTCCCTGCCACCGCCCTCCAGCCGCTTCGCTGCTAAGCTGGCCGAGGGGCAAAGCTGCCCCACGGCCAAGGGGCCCGCACCACAGCGTGAGGTGCAGCTCGCAGCCCCCAAACCTCTGACTGAGGCTCAGGGACCCTCGGCCTGTCCCTGGGCTTTGATTTCTCCAAGGGGTGATTGATAGAGAAGAGAGGGTTCAAAAAGGGTCTGGGTGATACTTAAAATATTTCTGAGGTTCTTTAGGGTCGAGCGGCCCTTTGTGTATCATAGATTGTTGATAATGGTGTGATGCAGGTTTGACAGTGGATGGGGGACATCCCTCAGAAGAACAGTTCTCACCCACAAACTTTTCACAAGTAGTGTTTAAAAGGGAACAATTGCCCCTCCTACTAAAAACAATGAATCCCTGCTGCTTTCTGGGGGGGCCGGGAAGGTGCAGGGGTCGGTTTTGGAGCACGGAGGGTCTCGGCAGCCCGGTCAGCACTGAGTAGGGAGGGGTGGGCTGTGGTCCCCCCGTGTGTGTGACATCCCTCCTGCTCGCCAGCCCCCCAGCTCTGGGCAAGGCTGCGCTTCTGGCTCTTCCCACCGGCGCCGTGTCGCAGGGTGGCTGGTTGCCGCCCCCAGTTGCACCCCAGTTGCCCCCCGGCCATGCCATGGGCGGGTTGGGAGCGGGCGATCACGGCGGAGCTCCCATCGGTGCTGTCATTATCTGCTGTGCCCTCACACTTTGTTCTGGAAAACCTCCAGCCCAGGAATATCTCATAAAATCACATTTTCGGAGCTCTGTGCAGAAGTGGCCCCGGCCCCTCTGTGTGACGTGTGGGAAGCCCACCCGAGGGCTCCGGGGGGGAGATGAGTCACGTCTCTGCCCACCTCCCCCCAACTCCTCTGCTCGTCACCCCACGGGTGCTCAGCTGCCCCGGTCCCTCTGGGGCATCTTCTACCAGTTAACACGGCCACTCCCAAAGCTCTCTCCTCCCAGGCACAAGGTCCCTAACTGGCCTGGGGATGCTCATTCCGTGGTGAAACCCACAGATTCGCTGGTTTTGCACCACGAGGCTGCGAGTAGCACCCCATTGCTATACTACAGACGTCCCAACGGTGGGTCCCCGGGGGACCGGAGCCACCGTGAGCTCAGCCAGAAGGTGGCCCTCCAGGACCAAAGCCACCCCGGTGCTCTCCCGGTGGCTCTCAGGAATTCCCTTCCCAGTAAAGCTCTGGCTGGAGCTGTGCTGGGGAGCGTCGCTCACCCTCTCACTGCCTTTCCCTGCAGGAGGTTGGCCCCACCATGGTGGGAGACGAGCATTCGGATCCCGACCTGATGAGCTTCCTGGGGGCCACGAAGAGGAACATGCTGGGGAATCACTTGTAAGTCCTCCTCTGTGACACTTCAGGCTCTCCCCTCTCCTCACTTTCCCAAGGAAGTATGGAACATCTTCACTCCTTGTATTCACCACGGCACCTTCCCGCGGCACAGTTAACCCCAGCACTAGTTTGATGCTGAAAGGGCATGTGCCTTGCCCTGCTTGTTGACACTCACCCAAGGAAACACTGCCTGGAATTTCATGTAGTTCTTTCTTTTTCCTCGCTTCAACCCCATTTTAGCACCTGAACCCCCTCCCCTTACCCCTTACCTGCTGGGGATGCTGCGGGCTGTTACCTGACGCATGCCTTGGCGGAGATAAAACACTCACAGGGAGCACCTGAGTCTTTCTGCCTAACTTCATCTGCCTTCATCCCAGCCTTCATCCTGAAAGACAAACCTCCTCTGCCCCACTCCCCTTCACAGCCCCGAGATGCTCAGAAGCAAATGGTGCCCAGCCCACCCTTGCTCTGGCTGGGGCCCTTTTTGGTGCCAAGCCTCCCAACCCGCTCACCTGCAGCCTGTCCCTCCCGTCACGCTCCCCAGTGCAGCCCGAGGGTCCCCCCCGTTACCGAGTGCCCACGCCAGCCCCCCTTGATGGCTCCTGAAGCTTTTCCTTGGGGAGCTGCTTCCCATCCTGTCCCCCCCCAGCTCCAACCCATTAGCCTGCGTGTTCCCAAGCCGCATTTCTATGGCGCTTCTCCATGTTCCCGTCTCTCTCTCTGCCCACGCCAAGTTTGACACCAGCCTTCATCAAAGTGGGAGATGTTACCAGCATGTTCTTTACATCTTGGCCCACTTTTTTTTTTTTTTTTTTTTTTCTTTTTTCCCCACTTGATATCTCACTTGTCTTTCTCTGGGGTAAAAAAAAAAAATACCCACAAAGCAAAACAAAACCCCAAATGCAAGTTAAAACAACAGAGAGGAGCAGTTAGATTTCTGCTGAAGCTTGCCCACTCGTGCCGTGGCGCAGAGGAGGAGTAGGAGGAGAACCAGGCGTTAAACAGAAGGGGCCTCTCGGTCCCAGTATGTTCTCAAACTTTCATCGGCGGAGCTGGGAAAACCCACCTACACCGTACCAGCCTGGCAAACTTCGAGGTCCAGGTCCTCAACTCCTGCAGCATTAGAAACCTGAAGGGGGTGGGAGATTTTAAAGAAAAATGAGAATAAAAAATTAATACCGAAGGCCCCCCATTAAAGAGAAAGCCTTGCAAATGCAGACCTGGGGCTCCAGCAGCTCCCCGCGTTGGCAGGGAGCCTGATCCCAGGCCCCCGCCACCCCCCTCCCTGCCCAGCAGCTCCGGGTGGGTTTGCTGGGCTGAGCCATCTCCGCGCTGCTGCTCCCAGCGCTGGGGGAGCGACAGCAGCTCCGTGCTGCTGCCGGCCGAGCCCAGCCTGGGAGTTATGCAAAGGGAGAAGGAAAACCCGAGCACCGAGAAAAAGAAGAGGCTTCAGGAAGGAAGAAGCGCTGCTGGCTCCTGAGAGAGAGGGGCAAGGATCCCTAGGATTCGGGTGGAAAAGAAAGGCAAGGAAAAATAAAATGGCCCGGTGGTGCCTGCCCCAGCAGCCAGGGAGGAGACACGGCGTTGTGAGGAACTGGAGTTCCACATTTCACTTGTCAGGGAGAAGGGACCTGAGCTTTCTGTGGCATCTCCTGGGTGGATTCGCCACCTTTCTTCCCTCCCTGGGGCCTGGAGCATTTTGAGCTCCCTCTTGCCCCACCTGCTTCTTGGTACAGCTCATGTTATACCCAGGGTAACGTCCCTGTGGCACATCTTCCCCGTTTGCACTTGAGCAACAGGGGATGGAGAAGATAACCCAGCTGGAATGTGGCTGCTGACACCCCGAGAGGCACGGCGGCATGCCAGCGGGATGAGCCCCGGCGCCCTGGCCAAACATCCCAACTGGGGATAAGAGCTGTGTTTGCACCACAGCCGAGCAGGATTTTCCATCCCCCTGACTGCAAGGCTTCGCCAGCAGTAAGCCCGGCTCTAGGATGCTGCAAATCTTGCCCTTCCTATAGCACCATGGGCCCTAAAACCTTAAACACGACCTTGGAGGGAGCTTGACAGAAAAGGCCTAAGCGCTATGGACCTGCTGGGGCACTGTAATATGCAGATGAAGTACTTAATTGCCTCTAATAAGGGAGAGCACTGCTCCAGTTATGCAGCTCTGCACTGGCTGCTGCAAATGAACACCATTAAGGTCACTCAGCCGCCGGCGCGGACACGCAGTCACTGTCACTCCCCGCTCTGGGGTGCGGCAGCAGAACCTGGGCGGCAGCTGGGCTTTGGGGAGGGGGGAGCCGGGCTCTGCCCCGGCCTGCGCGATGCTGGAAGCCAGCACGGGGCCAAGGATCCAAAGCCTGACCCTTTGGTGCTGCAGAAACAGGGTTCTGGGTCCACCCGGGCGGACGTGCACGCGTGCATGGCTGCTGGGCACCGTCCCGGCATCTCCTCTAATCATAAACGCTATCGGCACTGCTTGGTCTTAAACAAAAACTGATGCCTCTCTGTCAAATCCGGGGAGCTGCGGTCTGAGGCACCTGCTAATATTTTAATTTATCTGCTCCCCAGGGCACAGCCAAGCCCGGTCCTCGAGGGAGCTGGAAGGAGCCGGGCAGCTACCGCTGGGAGCCTGGCTGCTCCGCCACTGAAACAGCTCCTGCCCTGGCTCCATCCCAGCCCCAGGCTCCCCCAGTCCGTGCTGGCTCGGGCACACTGAGAGGGAGGGCAGCCAGGGACAAGCACCGAGCCCTGGGCAAGCGCAGAAGAACCTCGCCAGCCTCAGGAACTCCCCGAAAAAGGCTTCGTGGGTGTCCCAGCTCAGGCTTTGCGGGTGTCCCGACTCAGAGCAGCTGCACCCGGAGACAGCGACACGTTTGATACGCAGCGAGCAAGCTTTTGTGTCACTCAAGACACAAGGGTTGTGTTTAAAGCCCTGGGCAACTCAGCTTTCCTTCTGCTTTTAGCTCAGCCCCTCAGTTTTTTAGGTTCTTACAAATAACAAACAATCCCTGCCTCTGCATAATGGCAATAGTATTTACCAACTCCAACATGCGAATCTGAAGGGTATGTGGCAAGCCTCTTGGAGAAGTTCAAAGACACTTATAATAATACATATTATCTTTACACCACATCTATAATTATAGCAAAGTATAGTCTGTCTTGAGAAACTGAAAAACAGCTTTCACATCTTAGTGTTATTTCATGCTTTAAAAGCACTCCCCACTCCATTAATGTTTTGCAATCTTGGCAAGAGCAATTCTGGAAATGCTTTTGGGTCTTTTTTTATTGTTATTAGTATGAAAATCAGAAGAGTCTTTGTTAAGGTGCCCAAACAAGATCACCAATGGTCCTGCAGCCCATCATTATCAGCTTATCTGGCACAGTGAGTCATCTAAGCGCTACACCATTATGAAGCTTATCCCATCTGCTTGAGCAAATACGGCATCCAAAGACTGTGCTGGAGGCAGGAGGGTTAGTCGCGTCACCTCGGCTCTGCTGCCTCCCCACCTCATTCAGCCCCTTTCTTGTCTACGCTGTGCTACTCTCCCTCTCCGCAGCAACCCTCTGTTTTCTTTCGGCGGAGGGAAGGAGCGTCTGGTGTGGGAGCCGGCAGGAACCTGAGGAGCAGAAGCCGGACAGAGCCCACGTGTCAGCCTGACAGCCACTGCACACAACCCTGCACCGCGGGGGCAGAGCCCGTGCTCCACCTTGGCTGGCAGCTCTGCTGAGGACCGACGGCTTCTGGTTCTTCAAAGGCTTAATACTTGGCTGAAGGCAGCATTTTTTTTTCCAATCCCCACATTGCAAGCACAAGCTCTCAAAACCACTCAATTTACAGACAGGCTCTGACCTAGGCCAAGCACTGGTTTTTCATTCCTCAGAAACACTTGAGTGGCTCTCCCCTGTTTTGCAGAATTTATCCTCTTTTTCCACAAATTCCCAGCTGCGAATACTTGTGAGCCCTCCCTGCCGCAGTTCCAGCCCAGTTACCTGAGCAGCACGTGGCTTTGCCCAACCGGTCTCCGAACCACGTTCCAATTTAACCCAACCCTTCCCTTTCGGACAGGTTTTCTCCTTGGCTGGGTAGCTGTGGGTTCTGGCCTTGCCCATCTGGTTAACCAAGACCTCGCATCCCACAGCGAGCGTGGTAGATGTGGTCAGTCCAGCGTCTTACAGCGGTTTAGTAGCGAGGCAGAGCCACTTCCACAAGGAAATTCTTGTCTTTTCCTTCCCCACCTCATTTTATTTCTTCTCCTCTTTCCCACTTGCAGCTGGGAGTACTACGTGAACGACGCACCACGGATAGTCTTGAACAAGCTGGAGAGCTGTGGCTACCGGGTGGTGAGCATGACAGGCGTGGGCCAGACACTGGTGTGGTGCCTCCACAAGGAATAGTGAGGAAGACTTCACAAGGAATAGCAAGGAAGACTTCTGCGCTCCTCCCGGAGACCACCTCGCACGGGACTGACAGCAAACTTTTTCCCCTTAATTCCTTTCTGTCCCAGACTCCAGGCACTCGGGCACGGGGCGGGGAGGAGTAGAGTAGAGGCAAAACTTGACCAAGTGGGAACTTGCCCTCCGTGCTCTTTCACAAGGCCGGGGGGAAGGAAGGTGCGCCCAGCCCAGATGAAATCCATCCCAGAGAACAGATGGCTTGCTGCATTCAGCCGAGTGCCAGTCTGGCAAATACCATCTTTCTACATTTTAATCATCTCCTATTTAGCATGCACTGGAGGAAGCTCAAATATCAGCCGAAGCTGCCTGTTCCTCGGGGCCGCCCCAGAGAGGAGCGTGCTGAGCTGGGAGCTCAGGGCTTGCCTTCTCCTGGTCCGTGGGGGTAGGGAGGGGAGGCCACGCATGGGCAGCAGCCTGCCTCAGCCCCGAAACGCGCCAAACCTACTCCATGCTCCCCGAGAATCCCTTCACCCAGTGGCAAGGCCCGTTTCTCTCCCACAGGGGAGCGTGGTCAGCAGCAGCATCTGACTCCCAGGCCCCAGAACACCCTTCAAGCACAGCTCATCATTCCTCAGCTAGCCCCAGAGCAGCACACAAAGGTCTTGAGAATGTTTCAGGGCCGGGCTCTGTAAGCTTAACAGCAGCAGCTGCAATGCTGGATTGTTTGGGACTGTATCGATCCTGCTGGGGAGGGGGGGGAACACCAATAAAACATTTCTCTAAGGAGACCAGTGTCCTCTTGTGGGTTGTTTTAAACAGCTGTTGCCAAAGCTTTCTGGGTGCACAGCTCCTGATCAAGCTTTCAGGAATTAAAAGAAGCTCCTGGGTTTGGTGTCCTGACAGCACCTCTCACGCTCTCCCTCTCCTCTGTGACTGGGCAGTCGCTCTGAGGACACAGACCGACAGGTTAATACACCCACTCTGAAGCTTATGCAGCCATTTTTCCCCTCCACTCTGGAAAGGGATAAGGGAACTCTGCAGTCACCGAGAGTCCGTACTCCTACAACAGTTTTAAAAAAGGGGGTTTATTAACTTAAGAAATAGCTTTGGAAATGAAGAATGACGGGGTGGGGAGAATCCATACTCTCATGCTAGGTGTGAGACTCTTCCTCGTCCTCCCGCTTGAGCTGCTCAATGAGCTGCTGCCTCTCTGCCGCTTGGCGCATCCGCATCATCACCAGGCTCTCGTAATCCCGTTCCGATACCACCGACGCCTGGCAGGGGAACACAAATGCAACCCGTCAGGGACCGCGCATGCCCTGGCCCCCCCTCCACAAACCACCCCCACAACGTGCACATTCGGGCCAGTACGGCCCCAGAGGAATCGGGTGAGGCCCGAAAGCTGCCTGGCCCACAGAACACAGCCTGCCTCGTAGCAGCGTGGCGGATGGGGAGCCTGGACCACCCTCTTGCTGCTGGAGCTCACCGTGAGCCTGCATGGGGAAGCGTGGCCAGCGAGCTCGCTCCGCAAGTGCCACGCTGGTGCAAAGAGTCCGGCGTACACGTCACCCGTTATAAAGGCTAACGCCATTAAAAAAACAAAACCAAAAAAAAAAAAAAAAAAAAAAAAAAAAAAAAAAATCAAACCTTTCTGGTGCTTTAGTCATGAAGCGGCTGCAGAAAGAAAACCACCAGGTATGTTCCCGACCCTGACACAAGAGTGTCTCAGTTCGCACGAGCTCTTGGAGCCTTTCTGCTGCGTGTGGTAGCAACTGTCACGTCAGCGACGCCGACTGCAGACTCTACCTAATAAACGTAGGCAGCAGATGACAGCTGCTAGCGCAGCGCAAAGGGGTGGCTTTGGCACTCTGCTTTCAAAAGCCATTTAACAGCAGTAGGTGTCCTTACTATTTCGGATGTATTCGAAGCGCTGCAATGCTTGGAAACATCCAGCTCATTTGCTTGACAGTTCAGGTAGAAATAAAAGCATCTTGACAGAAGGTGAATGAAAAAAAAAAATAAAAATCTCACATTCATTTTTCTAGGAACTACATCTAGTCGTGATTTAAGGGCATCTTAAATAGAAAACAGAAGGGATGAAAAGGCAATAGAATAGCTAAGTGAGATTCTGCATGAAAATGGGGCAAGTGCAAATTTGTTATCATGTGCCAGCAAAGTGGTTCCTCCAGCTGCAGAGTGTCTAGCTGCGAGGACAAAATAGAATCCCACTACAGGTGAGAAACTTGGACTGGGAAATTAAGAGACTAAGATGCCATAATTGGTATCTTAGGAGCTGTATGAATTAAATAACCTTTCAGCACTGCGCAGCACACATTTTCACAGTGTCTGAGAAAGCACCAGATTGTATCAGCCTTCAGTGGCAGAACTCGGCTTCTTCAAAGCTCCTGTCCACTAACCACAGATACTTGCTGGCATTTGCCTGGCTGAATGAAATAGCCTACATGAGACTCATGCAGGTGAATCATCCATACAAACCTGAATCACTACCTCACGCTCTGGATTTAAATTTAAAACAGACAAAAGATCTTTTCCGGCCTCGTTGGGGCGCCCTGCTGATATAACAAGCCATCAGAAGAGACAGAAGGGAGAGCACCAAGAGAAGGAACGGTCTGATTCAAGATGGGCTACAAGTCGCTATTCACGTTGACAGTTCTCAGGCAATCTGGGCGCCTCTGAGGGAGCTGCTTTCTCCTCAGGCAGAGTGTGGGCCGATGCCTGCCACTCCACACACCTACTTCCTGCAATCCTGGCAATTACCAATAGTGTAAAACCCAGTTTCTGACGTGGCTGACTCAGCAAGGGCTTGGCTCAAAACAAATACGTACGCACAAGGAACGGCAGCCTGGGAAGCAGTGACAGGAGGCACAAGAAGAGAAGGAGGCATGGGGGATTTTTAGCTTTCCGGGTCCCACCTGGCTGAATCATCCCTGGACCTGCTTCTCCCAACATCCCAGCACCCTGGTGAACGCAGCAGTCACAGTTCTGCAAGTGCTTCAGCAGTTTCTCCTCTCCGCCTGTTGGACTCCACTGCTGCTCTGACACCGTGTAAGTCTATTTTGCATTCAATTTTCCTAATGTTTGTCGTTTACATGTGTTTTCTTGCTTTTTGTCTTTCCATTTGACTGTACTTCTTTGGTTTTCTTCGGTGTGACTGAGTCACCGTCTCCCTTCCTAACCACCCACTGAGATTTTTATACCGTGCCCTTCACCATGAAGGTGGCTGGTTACCATGGTACCAAAGTGCCCTTCTGTTCTAGATGCTCGATTAAATCTGTTCTCATGGTGACTGGGTGCCTTTGCTATTCTTCATCAGCTTGTTTCTGCAGCACAGATTTAATAAGCTCAGACATTGCCATTCCTTCTCCACTGAAGAAGGAGACTCCTTAACATCTAAGACAGGCCAATTGCTCCTTAACACAGGGACGTAGTGTGAAGTTTGCATTTCCTGCAATACCAGCCTCTCTGTTTTCCTTCCAGCTACAGGAACAGGGAAGGAAGAGGGTGTTCCTGTTGTGTGGCTTGCTGCTGATCCTGCGGCTTCAGTCCAACATCAGACTGCAGAAAGCCAGCAGTTTCCTCCTCCTCGCTGCCTTTCATCGGCATGGATACTTGGCGGAGAGGGTCCATTAAGTCCACAACGTTCTTCAGACGTTTCTCACTCCGGAGACACAAAAAGCTGAGCAACCAAGTCATCATCTTGAATCAGAACAGCCACACTCTGGACAGTGAGGGACAGTGCCAGAAGAGGGAATGCTTGAGGGATCTGAAGGACAAGTCTGATTACCTGTCATGTCAGAGTGAGCAAAACCTAGCCAAAGCACAAGCACCCCCCAAGCCTCCCCGGCTGTACCTGGACAGTTCTAGCTGCCCTAACATCATCGATCACACTGATTCTCACTCTGACATCTCCTTTTCTGGTGCTACTCATCAATACCACAAAGCCACTCAAACTCAGTTCCACAAGGACCAGGCTACAGACTGCGGGACCTCAGAGGCAGGTTCCCAGAACGGCACCACTCTTTCTGACCTGTCCGATCCCTTCCTGTCCTTCAAAGTGGATTTGGGGCTATCACTTCTCGAGGATGTTCTGCAGACCCTCAGGAAACAGAACCCAAGAGATTACACCATTTGAAGGTATTTATCATTTAACATATCACATTTACGTACTGCCGCTGGCAGTTTCTCTAATCCTAGGGGGAGGAAGGATACTGCAGCATTCCTGTTGTGCGCGGCCCTTTTGTTGTTCTCGCCTTATCCACCACAGACTGTCCCTGTCCTTGCCCAGGAGTCCTTCGGAGCAGAGCTCATGGGCTCCGTGCTCAGATGAGAGCACTGTCTGCTGGAACCTCGTGGGCAAGTTTCCATTCTCCATACTGGGAATTTCCCACTCCTGACTGTGCATCTCCTCCCCGGGGAAGAATGGCATTGTTTGGCAAAAGACTGGTTATTTTGGGGATGTGGCTGTGACACTGCAGAACACAGACAGAAAGGGATATGGCATACATCATCTGTGGATATGCAGGCAGCTTGCAAGGAGACAGTAGCATTGCATCTCAAACCCATAGCTATGGCAAGGGTCAAGAGACAGAAACTGGTGTTTCTTCTCCCACCGTGTCTGGATGTGAAAAAATCAAATCCATTCCTTCTTTTTTTGTTTCTTGTGGGTTTCTTTTCCCCTAACTCAAGTGCAGTTGGCACTCCAAGACTAGAAACAGGTAAGCATCCACACCGGCTCGTAATACAGCAACAGCAGTCCATTTATCCTACTAGCAGGAGAAGAAATTTCTCTAGATACTGCTGCTTGAAGCATGCACTGATCTATCAGCTGTACAGATATGGAAGAATAAATGTATCTGTGACTGGAAGTGTCTTGTTGCCTCATTTCATTGGTAGCAAGCGAGAAAAAGCCCAGGCACCAAGAGCACAGGTCCCTTCTCTATAGTGACTGAGATGTGTCCTCTCTGGCACTTCAGGCTTTTATGAGGGTGGGGAAGCTGTGTGGCTCTGCTTTTCTGGGCTGGGAGCAGGCTAGAGCTGCTGGTACTTCACTTTCCCCCAGGGAGAGCGTGCACAGCTCAGGTCAAGAGCCAGCATCAAAATAAACAGCGCTTCACCCAGTGAGCTGGACAGTGGGAAGGGCTCTGCCAGGCTGAGAACATCTGAATCAGTATCAGGGCAAACTATTAAAAGGACACTGCAGAAACTACTGGGTTACCAATTCTTACCTTTTGCATAGCTAGATTAGATACTGGGGCTCTTTTTAAAAATAAAATAAAATCTCCATGCACTCAGATAACCATAAGTTTTGGAAGCCGGCTACAACGAAGTGCACATAGACATTTCAGAGAAGACACAGACAGCCCTTAACCTGCTAGACTCACATCAGGCTGTAAAGTCAGATAATATAAAGCAAACTCTATGAAACCTCAAAGGAGCTTAGAAAAGATACAAGAGTGCCAGACAGAAGGCTTCTGTCAGCACTTTAGTATGGCTGAATGCATGGTCCAAAATGAAGGGGGAGTGCTGGCTGGGAGACCCCACTAGTACAGGTGCAAGGAAGACCTTCCCAGAAGAGGATGCTTCACGCTGTTGTCGTGGCAAAATATGCTCTTCACAGCACTGTACAGCTGGTGTGCGCTTTGAGCCATTCTGAACCACAGCAATCAAACAGTCATTGCTCTCAGATAGCCTAGAGTAACACCGGCCAATCCACAGCTTTTGTAAGTCAAGCATAACTCGCCTGCTTGGCTCCAGCAGCTCTCCAGGAACTGCTGGACAACGTGCACCCACCGCTGTAGAATAAAAGAAGCCAAGATTGCGGAGGCGAGCATCTTGTAACTTACTGCCTCCTCACAGCACGACTTTTCAACAGCCAGCCCTGCTTTCACCTGGGAAGTGCCTCCAAAGCCCCCCCGGTGTAAGTCAGCACAGAGCTGTCCCTCCTTTGAGGGCTCTGGTGCACAGGTCCTGGGTGACTCCCCAGGCAGGGAGCAGACACTGCTCCGAAGCGGGGGAGCGGTGAGCGTGTTGCCATACGAACGCAGCAGGTCTTCGGCTGTTCTCTGAAGCAGAGCAGGGAAGGAGCTGCATTTGCAGGGTGAGAGCAAACAGTGGGGGTGGATTCAGGCAAAAATAGAAGCAACCTGGAAGGAGCAGTAAATAGGAAGTAAAGGCACCTTAATTCAGAGTAAGATTAGTGGAGCTTGAAAGGGAGAATGTGGACCCTTACGGCTGGGAAGCCAGACTGGGTATGAAAAGATGAGGCAGGGAGTCAGTTGAGGCAGTGGCAAAAGATATCCGAAAGACCACATTTCATATGGTCTAGAGTTGAACAGCTGAGAACAAAAAGGATAAGTCAACTAGAAGCAGTACAGTCAAGAGAAGCTATTATCAAATTACAGATTTTGGAAGCATCCTAGTGGAAGCAGCAGCAGGATCTGGGGAGGCCTGGAGTGGGAAGTAGGAAAAACAGGAACCAGAGCAGCTTGGAGAGCTTAGCCTGGACATCAAGAGTGTAATGTAATCAAAGAAATTGCAGCTGCTTATACAGAAAAACAGTAGAAAGAACAGACAAATATCAGCAGTGCCATTCTTGGGAAAGTGTGCAAGCCACTGGCCATAACTCCTCACCATTTTGAGAGCTAATATGGGATCGACGAGGCTGTGTTGGACAGAAGTGAGTCACCACCTCCACACAGCATGAACACCATTTGCTGCTTCAGCCTGCACTCCCTTGCTGCTCCACCAAGCTAATCCTTCACAGCAGGCAGATGCTGCAGTTCCACACTGACAAGCTTTGGTCATGGAAACAGGCCAAGATAAATTCAGTCAAAACTCAGCCAAAAGCCTGGCCAAGCTTTTGAACCCACAGAGGCAAGAATACACTACCAAGTTTGCACCAGCAACCTCCTTAGGTATGAATGAGCCAGTTCTCATTCTCTACTAGTGAGAGATACTCAAACAAACTGGATTGAATTCTGCTTTTTTTCCCCAATTTGCCTTCTAACACTCGGGCCACCTCCGTGAATGTACTGTGTCTGCTGGACTCGTGCTGGTTCTGCAGTGTGCATGGAGATCTACCTGGCTCCTGGGCTCTGATGCAGTAACTGCCTTCACTGACATTTCTGGGAAACTGCTGCGCAGGCCAGGCTGTTCAGGCAAAGAACATGGATCCCAAGTGAAAACATACAGCCTTAAACAAACCTAGAACAACAGCAAGGCGCTCGGATGTGTAAGTGCATCTACTATAAATAAAATACTTAACAGAAAGTCAGGTGAATGTACCCAACAACCTCACAAGCTGCTAAGATACTGAGGGAGCGAACACACACAAGGCTGATCACGACACAGACACACAGACTAAGGGCACCTGCCCAGCATGAGGCAGGAGTCCTCTCAGCAATTAGATCTTTCTGATCTTTATGCCCCAGGGAAGGAGGAGAGGGGACTAACTGTCACAAAGTTTGAACTCAAATAACCAACAAAGGATCTAGGGTCCCTTCACAACTTCACAGCCAAGGAATTACTAACTAGGTCAGAAGACATACAGAGCACAAGATAAATTCTGTGCTACAGAGCAAAATGGGATGTAACACTCTCCAAAAGCCGTGGATACATCTCCCACTCCAAAGGGCCAAGAGGAGCAAGGGGTAACGGAGAGCCAACAACGTGCTGCAGCACATCCTCAGATTAGTTTTTATGTTTTAACCACTAGATGTTATTACCTTCCATGTGCTTTGAGATTGGAATATATTTGCTATTCAGGAGTGACAGCTTCAGAGGCACTATCTGGTGAAATAACCAGGAAGCAGCTACGAGCAACAAACACTTTGCACTCAAAGTAACCACACCGGTAAAGAGGACCCAAAACAGACAATAAGGTCTCTACAAGGATATTTATTTTGATATTGATTTCTCCTCTTTCCTGCAGACCCTAAGAATATAGGTTTCCTTTTAGCACTGAAATTCCATCCTCTTATGAGTGCAGTGAGTAACCAACCCTTTCTAAAGAAACCTTCTAGGAGACTCATTTCAATCAGAGGACTCCCATAAAGTATATTAGAAAAAATTCCAGAAGAATGGCACTAGAGACTTTGGGCTGAGCAAGCAACAGACTCGTTTTTCACTTGGAAGAGACAGAGTGAGACTGTGTGAAGATCCAGCCATCCAAACAGCTTGCGTTCTCAGCGTGCTGCTACTCAGGCAAAAAAGGTCCTTTAAAAAAGCCACTGCTTCAGCACAAAAAGGCTCATCAGAAAGGCAGGTCTTTCATTAAGAGCTTATTCTCAGCTCTGCTGAGAACCAATGTATCTTATCAAAATGCAAAGCACACTGTTAAATGTAGGTTGCTATAGAAACAGATCTAAGTTACAGCAGCCCATCTCCTTACCTGTGAAGTCCTAGGCTGACTAGTGCTGTCAAAAAGGACAGTGCTGGGATTGTTCCGGGGCTGACCCTCCAGCCAGGAAATCTTTAGAGGATTATTTATCAGGCCAACTTCATTCTTCACAGCCATCTCCTAATAATGAACATATTTTTCCATCACCACCTGAATTTCAGAGCCCACTCTCTCACATGTCACTAACAATCATAAGAGTTTCTCCATCTCAGTCTGGCATCAAGGCCAAGTAGGGCACAAACAATGAAGATTTCACAGCTGCCCTACACGAGAAGCACCCTTTAAGGTCCATATCTACACCAACTATAGAACATTTCACTGACAGTACTTTTGATAAACAAGTCACAGATAATTCTGGGATTTTTTAATTATTTGGGTATATAAGGGAAAGAACAGGTGACAAAGAACAGAGACTCTTGTACAGTGTAAATTGATGGAAGTACTAAAATTAAGGGTAACTGATGATTTCTGTTTCCACAGCCACATGAATTATTACAACTCAGAGTGAGTCAAGACATTTTGATTTCTCTTAAACTGCAAATGCCTTATATAACCTTGAAAACTCATTAGGCTCATCTTCACAATGGGTAATTCACCTTCAGTGAGAGCTGATTAAATAGCTCAGTGCTTTTTAAAGCAGTGTCTCTTTCCTCAGCCTTTTACCTGCACAGCCTGCTTGTTTATGTGCATGATGGGTGCTGGGTTTATGCCTCCAGCTTTGCCACTCCCTTCATGCATCTGTATCCTTAGACTCTCATTACCCTCCACTGCCTTAATGACAAGGCAGCGTCTCTAGGCTGTCCCTTTGCTAAACCCTTCCCTTCTGCAACACCCCATCTTGCCCACTCGCCACTGCACACACCGGGGGTCTCCGCCAGACTTACAGCAGCCTTAACGGTAGCAAATTCCACGACTGCACTCCCAGTCTTCCTACTTGAGATCAACAAATTGAGCACATCGCCATACTGTTAAGACAAAGAAAGAAAACTTAATTACAGCCTCAGAAGAGACATCAAGTTCGTTTATGGAACAAATGCAAAGAGAAAACATGTGTTTTCACAGACATGAGGCTTGAGCCGTCACCCCTTCTATCTTGCACGATGCTTCCACTGATCCCAACCTGTCATAATTTCTGTCCCCCCAGGAAATAATTCTGGGGAGGAAGGGAGCTACACACTTTGCTTTCAGCAAGCCCCAGTGCAAGAGGTTGCTTAGCTCAGAGTCAGAGCTACAGGAGATACTTGCACAAAGGGAAAATAAAGATCACATGCTGGGACTAATCAGATCAAAGGCTTGTCTATTCCTGTCTCTGAACTTCCCACAGCAGCTCATGCATAATGCTTTAGGTGAAGGCAAGAGCGTACCACAACCACACAGCCAGACTAACTTTTTATACAGTCCATGAGCCATTCAGTGGGAAGTTTGCAGTTGCTCTGTTTCAGCAGGAGTGAGACAGAGGTGCTCGCTGGGGAACAGTTCACAGCAAATGTATCACGCTGATGATCTCTGAACAGAGAAGAAAATGAGCCGCTCCAGTTTATATGGAGCTTCCCAGAAATTACTATCCTTTCTTATACTGTTGAAAGAAGGGGAAGATCAAGTAGTAGGAAAGTGTCAGACATGACCTTTTGCAGGATCTGCAACAGAACATCTTTAGAGTATCCCCCTCTCGTCTCATCTTCTTTCCTGCATTTCCATTTTAGCTGGGAAATAAACATGACAAGTTAATTTTGTCCGTTTGAACGCGTGTTGCCTTGCTCAATGCAGCTCCTGCCACCTGCACATTAATCAAGTTTGCTATTTACAGTTACACTCCCAGAATTGCCAAGACAGTGATTTCAACATCAGAATGTGCAAAGGGAACAAATGATTTGGGGAGCAGGGAGAAACACTGCTCACTGGAATAAGAAAGATCATACTTGAAAGCATACAAATGGCTGTATCCGGGTAACAATCAGATGCTTCCTTGTGCTTAAAGCAGTGACAACTCAATTTCAGGCTCAAAAGTCATGACCAGACAGTAGAGAAAAGGGTGAGGGAGAAAGGGTATCCAAGGCAATGACAGGAACTGTTTATGTGCACGATGCACATTAGGTAGAGGAACTTCACCTCGACTGTACAAAGGGACATGCCAGTGCAGCAGAGCTGAAGTGTCCCTTCTGTTTTCCAAAGCTGCATAATGTTCTATCAGGTCACACTGCAACCCAGCTTTGTAAGGATGTCTTACTTTGAGTTTAGGAGTTATTTTGCCTTCTGCTCCATTTCTTTCTTGCTTGCCTAGAGAGGGGAAAGGAAAAAAAGGATGGAAGGGACATGGGTGAAAACTCTGCAGAAGAGCATTTAGCTGAGAAAGTACATATAGCAATAGCAAACACTTCTGGATTTAAAGTAGATGTCATTAAAGACAAATAGATTTCAAGGGGATACATAAGTAGTAACCCAATAACAACTACTATTTTTTGCAAACTCAAATCATTCTCTATTTTGAGCCTTCAATGCTGACTGCTTTAATTGTGACAGATGAGCCAGATATTAGGCTCCTTCCTTCATAACCGTGGGGCTCCACATCAGGCCATCCTGATTCAATGCTTTAGAATATTTATTGAAAAGGAGCAGAAACAAGGTGTTAAAGAGTAGCATGCCACATATAAGAAAGCAGCCCCACAGAATTACTAGTCCTTTGACTTATCTGAGAAAAAGGTGCTAAGCTGGATCCTACATATGGCAACGTGACCAAGTCAGAATGCTGCATCTGTACGTGAGCTCTGTCTACAAAAGAGTTGGAGTCCCACGTGCACGTATCTGGCTGAGGGCCCCAATCTCCGCTGTTCTCACCGTGGATGTGCTGCTCTCTTTCAAGCCGGATCTGTTCTTGAATGAGTCTCTGCTGCTCCTCAAGCTGACGGGAGCCTTCTTCACGCAGGCGTATTATCTGCAGCAGAGGTAAGACAGCATGGATACCAGAGGGAGCAGCTCCATAGCTGGTTCGTGCTGGCTAAAGGCTGCCAAGAAGAGCTTTGTCTTATACCCATCTCCTGGGGCAACCCTGCTGCTAGTTTCCCTGTGACAGCTCCAGCACTCATAAAACTGAACCCCTCACGTTCCTGGCCACAGTCCCTATCAGCCAGCATACAATCAATTAGCTGTTGCTATTATCTGCTATGCAAAGGAAAAGGGCAGACAAAAAAAATATATAAATCTCAGGATCAACATATTTGCCAGACCGCTACAAGATCCTTTCTACGCGCCTCTCTTTCATAGACCAAATAACCCAAAAAGCTGAAGGATTGCTATACACAGATTTGCTGCATCTCATCACATGATTTTCATTGTGATTGTAAAGACTTTCAGCAATTCTCAAAAGCAGCAGAGAAATCTAAGATTTTATCTTTACTTCTTGTTCTAATGATCTCGTTATCCTGATCTCCTCCTCTTCACTCTCATGGGTCTGGGCTTCTCGTTCTCTAGCTTCGAGATCTGCAGGGAAAGAAACAAAATTAAAACAATCCAAAGAGAATTTTCACTACTGACCAGAGGTGGATGGAAAGATCACAAACTTGGCTACACTTACACCAATTTCAAAGTAGAAACCTAATAGCTCTGTTAGCTCTCCTCTGCCCAGGCACATCAATGTATCAGCAGCATTAACAGCCATCAAACCCCCTAATTCCTGCCCAGAGCAGGACCATCCCCAGCTATCACTGTGGAGGGAGATCTCAGATGGCTACTATATTGTACTGGGCATAAAGAAACCACTGCCATCACAAATGGAGAGCAGATTAATCAATGGTGAATTCCAGCAGTAGAAGAAATGCAAACACCCAGCTAAGGAAGACTTCAAGCCAAGAGAAAATGAAGTTTTGATTTTATTACCAAGCTTTACTTTCTTTCGCTTCTCATCAAGCTTTTGTGTCCTTTCTGCAGCTTGCTTCTTAGCCTTTCTCACTTTGTCATACGCCGCCTGTCAAAGAACCAACACAATAGTGTGAAACTATATAAAGCAGAAGAGATAAAATGAAAAGCAGCGAATAAAGGCGAGATCAAATATTGGAACACTGTAAGCAGAAGTGAAGCTTCTTCTGCTTCTTGCTAGCATGCCTCCTTTTAGGTGCTGAAGTTAACACAAATATCCTGAAAACATGAGAAGAGGACCAGGGATCTCCAGATGGAACATGAAAGGGTGAGGAAGTTCAGGAATAACTGCAAAGTGTACTGGAGAGAAAGCGTGACCCATCTTCAGAGGTGGGAAGAATATTTTGGTTTTCTGAACATGCGAAAAATAGCTTTAGGGGCACTGGTAACAGATCAGATTTGGTTTAGAGAAAAGTTTTACAATTAAAAAGGTCTATTTTATATGAAAGATTGATTCACAAGACAGACGTTTGACTCACACGAATGTATGAGATCAAAGAGCATCAGAACAGCGGCAATGAGACATCAACATTCATTTAGCACTACAGAGACTTAAGAACTGGGGTAAATTGGCAATTTCACTGGCACCTGTTTAAACCAGTCGATAATCTGTTCATCAGCCTACACAGAACTTTTCTGTAGGTTAAACACACACAGGCACAAATGCTCAAATATTACTTGTAGAATAGTTGTACAGGAAAGCACTGCTCTTGTTTTATAAAACTAGAAAAGCTGGTATTTTTCTTCCTGCGTGGGAAGGGTTTGCTAAACACTTTTTCCTTTTTAAAATGTAGAAGCCAAAAAGTTCTTGGATGCCAAAAGCTTAATTGCCCCTTGGAGGGGAGATTACAAGCTTTGCCAATGTTTGAGGAGAGTTATTTCATGTTTTTAAATCTTATCATCTGAATTTTTAATATGCCTTCACTCCTGAGTTTATCTAGATAGAGTTACTTGCTCATTTTTATTTTGTTTTTATTCTTTCCCTTCACATGCCCAGATTACTTTCAGGCCTTGAGCAGTAGGCACTCAACCACTTCTTCACAGCAACAGAAGAGTTCAAGCTACATCTGGCAGCCTGCAAAGCTCTTCCAGCAAAAGGACAGAGATCATGAGTATGATTCAGCTTTTCTGTTTACAAGTCTCTTGTGCCCCATGGAAAGAAAGGCTTTGAGGCTTATCAATCAGATATTATTTATTTGTCAGACCTTGACTTTGAGGGAACTGCAAATGCACTGTTGTCATGGGAATTTAATGCGTCCCTGAAGCAGGGGTGGTTATCATTTGTTTTTTTAAATGGAATATGCCCCAGTCTAACACGTTATTAAAGACAGTATCTCACCCATGCAGCAAATGGACAGAGCTATTCAGAGCACATCAAATCAGAAAAAGCATATTTGTCCAAATTCTTATCTGGCACCTACTATGTGATCTCAAGGAGAACTACAGGGAATAACAGATGAGACTTGCACTCATGAAGTCACAGTCAAAGAGAACAGGCCAGACAGGAGGAGAGCTTCCAGCACTTCTCCAGCGTGCTCGCAGAGAGTAACACCACACAACCCCACCATCATCCTTACCCTCGCTGCTGCATCTGTTAGCACGGCTAAGGCTTGAGACAGTTGGTGGAAGACTTCCGCTGGGAATTAGAAGAAAAAAGGGTAAGATGCAGAAAACCATGCTAGTGGCCTGGAGATGAACCAGAAAAGACAATCCCTTATGGAAGAGACCTGCAGAACATCAGAAAGAAGAATAATCTTTCCAAAGCATTTGTAAACCAACCTATAGCCAGGATCACCTCAACACAAAAGACAACATTTGTTACATAAACTTCAGTGTAAATTAAGAAACAAAAACTGGGACCATTTCATTTTAACAGAAATCTTCGAAAACATGAATTCAACAGAACCTATCTACAGGAACGTATTACTCAACTTACAGTCAGCCTGAAAGGCACTGTTGCAAACAAATTCTCCCTTTCATATCAATAGCGTTTCAGCCCGAGATTCAAATTTTGCATTTTACATCAATATTGCTGACAGTTTTCCTAGAAGGTTACACGTAAACCAGGGGCCTCTCCACACACTTCAAATCACTTCTCTACTTTCTGCAGATATCAAAGCCCATGGCTTTCTTCTCACTGGTGATGAAATATTACTATATTTTTTCTGGTGGAAAAATTTTCTCAGTACTACAGTTATAAGTTTTCAGTCTATAAAACCGTAGGCCATCAAATTTGAAAATGCAAGATACAGAGCAATGCTTATTTTGCAGTGCCCTGATGAACAGCATCCTTCTAGTTACCACTGCTGTTAGCTGCTACCTGTAGCTACAAAAATTAAAAACAGAGTAGCTGCAGATGCCAGGCCTTGCTAACAGTTTAGGTACAGTCAGTTCCAGAGTCAGGGCCTTGTCTCCAACAAACAGAAATGGGCACTGCCCATAGATAATGTTATTTATAAGCTTGCTGTGAAGTTTTGGCTGTGAGAGGTATGAATTAAAATAGCGACCAGCCAGTAAACACTGGCGACAGTGTGGCCAAAGGTCTGGGACTCAAGCACCATGTGGGAAGATTTTCAGAGGTGTGAATATAATTTCAGCACTGACTTAACACTGATGTTTCTAAACCAGCATGCATACATTCAACCTTAAAAACAGAGCTCTCTAATAGTGACAAAAATAACTCTTAGTCCTGCATATGCATACTTCACATGACATATACCCAGGCATTCCCTTAACCACATGCAAAAGACAGACTTGAAGGTAAGCAGAGCCATTTCCAGGAGTCTGCACATGTGAAAACAAACATGAAGGGCTGTTTGTGTCTGCACAGCCCCATCTTACCTGCTCTGGGATTGTCTGGGTTCTTATCTGGGTGACAAGTCAGAGCCTTCTGCCGGTACGCTTTCTTAACCTGCAAGTCAGAATTGAGATTTACTGGTTGGTGCTGTTTGGTCTGTGTTGAGAAAAGGAACTTGGAAAAAACAAAAACCAAACCACTGCAGAAACAAAAAGTTACTCTTCAGAGGGTTTCTTTTGTTGTCTTTGTTGCTGGTTTTGCTTAACTTAAAACACACCTCCCCAGCATAAGTAGGAGGCGGTGGTTGAACCAGCATTCATTTGCAAGACTAGATGTCCCCCAGGCCTGACAGAAAATAAAGACCACTTCTGTAGTGCTGATAGCTCCGTTACTCCCTCATACTGAAAGGTAAAGCAGCCTACCTTAACAGCAAGAAACCTCTGCAAAGCTCAGTTTTTAACCTCACTGCAGTGACCTTTTAATCACACTGTACTGCAAGGATAAGCATTTGAACCCAGGACACTTAGTACACAGCCAGCCATATTTTGAAGGAGTCTAAGCTTTTCAAAGCCAGAAATTTTACTCCTAGGTGCATTGTATTACAGCAGCCAAAACTCACGATCATCAAGGCAAAGTCTGGTTCACTGAGGCATTTTTCTAGCCAGACAGATACTGTGTTTTTTGCAGTTGTAACTCTGGGAGAGAGAAAGTACCATTTACTGTGCAACAGCTGAGGTTGGCATGGTGAAGAACTTTTGACCAAAGACTCTTTAATCTCTTCTATATTGCAAAGAAAGATTGACAACTTTCTGAGCTAGGTCACTTTTAACAATCAGAGTCCCCTTTGTCAGGAACACATCTGCAGGCAAGAAAGGAAAGGAAGAAAAGCTGCTCTGTTCCACTGCCAAGCAGTCCTCTGCTAAAATGGGTGGAATAAGCGGTGGCCCGGCCCCATCTGGTGGACAAACCTCTTGGAAGGGAAATGTGCACCTACAGCCTCCCAGGCCTGATCCTACCTCCTGCTTAAGCACGGCTCCTGTTAGAAGAGAGGCAAGTGTCCTCCCCGTGCACCAGTCACAACTATTACAGTAACTGTTCTAAGTGGAAAGTTCAGCTAAGGCTTCTCCAAACAGTGAGGTTAACAGTCTTACTCCACTTTGTTCATCCCTTTTGGCCATGCTGCTCTGCACACAAAGGGTCTTTGGGTTGTTTCAAGTATTTTACATAAAGGATTAGCAAGCATTCTAAATTACGCTTGTCACTTTTTGAATTGCACCATAACATCCAATTTGTAATGTTCTCATCCTTTTCCCCCAGTGACTAGTTCAGTGATGAAGATGAGGTCACCCAAAGTCTTTCATCTCATTCAATCCTGCGCGTTACATTTGGCTGGTTCCCCTGTTTTGTGCTTCATACACACAGAATTTCCAGGCAGCCTCAGACACAATTGCTGGTTATACCCAGGCTGTAGCTTCTGAGTTTTACTCTACTGTACTGCTACAAAGGGGAAAAAAAAAAAAAAAAACAAAACAAAACAGAAAAAGCCTAAGGAGGAAAATCAAAGTTTCCCCATTCAAGTTTGCTCAGTTACCAGTAGTTTTACTCAGAGCCTTACTTCCCCTTAAAAAGTCACTTTCCCAGCTCAGCCATTCAAATCCTGTGTTTAGTGTTGACTTACCAATTAAACCAAAGAAAAAATGGAAATGTGTAATTCCAAACCCACAAATTTGATGAGATGACTTATGGGAACCTACAGTACTTAGACCAACCTCTAAGAACTGGAGTTTGGTAAACACAGGAGGAGCTTTCCTTCTGAAGGCACATAAACAAACAACGACATATCATCGGAGATAAATTCTGCAGCTCGCTCCAACTGATTTCACCCTCCTCCAAAGCCAGGTCTCACCCCACAGGCTTAAGAGGGGAAAAGGGAAGGGCAAGGTGAGTGCAGCAAAGCTAACATCAGAAAAAAACTGGCTTTCCCACTTATTAACAGCTCCAGCCGACCACGCAGCAGTGCCCGCAGCAGCAATACTATATTAAAACAGCGCTTGGAGCAACCGCTCAGGTAACCAGCCGAGAGCAGCAAACGCAGCTCCACGCCCGAGCCACCTTCTGCCCTCGGCAACGGCCGCCGGTCCCGGGGGGCGGAAGAGCGGGGGCGGAGAGGGAAGAGAGGGACCCCGCTCCAAGCGTCCCGCGGCCCCGTGGGGGCTCCCGCCCCGCGGCCCTGACCTCCTTCTCCGACGCCTTCTCGCCGACCCCCAGCAGGCCGTACAGGTCCAGCTGCAGCAGGTCCTTATCGACCGCCATCTCGACGGTAACCGGCTTCCCCGCTCCTGCCGCCGGGCCCGCGCCGCCCGCCGGGAAATAGAGTCCCGGGCCCGCCGCCGCGCCCCGGCCCGCCTGGTCAGCCGGACTACATCTACCAAGGTGCACCGCGTTTCCTGCCGCGGCAGCCGCTCCCGGCGGGCGCAGCGGAGCGCGGTGTCTGCTGGATGTTGTAGTTTCTCGGCTGCGGCCGCAAGCGCGGCGGGGCGGCCGAGGGACCACAACTCCCGTCGGGGTTTGCGCCGCCGCAGGCGGAGCGGGGTTGAGGGGCCGGATGGCTGACTGCGGGGGAGGGGCGGGTTGCGGTTGCCGTAGTTCTGGCGTTGTCTCCTTGCGGTTTGTGGTGGGCTAAGAAGAACAAAAGCTCCAAGGCAAACCGTAACGATTGCACCTCAGGGGAGAGGCGAGTGTCCCTCGGGCAGCCATTTCCTGAGGAGGCAGCTCCATAGGCTGGAGCAGGGCCGGGCATTTGTTTCCATAACTGTAAATAAGTAGGGAGCACCGTAGAAGAAAGTCAGTCCACTTAATCCAGTACACAAGGGAAGGAGTTCTTTTCCCCCAACCTTCATTCCAGTATCCTAACAGGAGTTGTGTTCTGGTGGCCAAAGACGTAAGAGCCTCTGTACCATTTCTCTTAAGCAGCAGCAAATAACTGATTGAGATCGGTGAGAAAACTGGTTAAATTGAATCCAGCAAGGTGGATATTTGAGAGAGGCTTTCTAACCCAGCAGTGTAATAAAACTAAAGAAGTAGCAGGCTGTTACCATGGTGCCTCGTCCAGGGTGAGCAGGAGGCTTGGCAGTGCTCTGGGTGGGCACAGAGCGCAGTACCTGAAATGCCTGTGTTCTCATAAAACATCACTGGAGGTAATTACAAATAAGATTGTACGCTCAGAATGGAGTCTAGCTTCTTGTGGAAAAGTTTACACCTTCTCTACTGCATAATTAATTAAATGGACCTGTGATAGGTAGCTAGCAGGCTTTTACCCAGCAGAAAAAATGTTTATTTGGAAGTGTTATTAGGGACATCCATCCATAGGTATGCCCCTTGCATTTTGGGATCGTTAATAGGAGCTCTAGCTCTAGATGAAGGGGAAGGAGCGGGGCCTGACGGGTCTCTCGCCGGCTCTGGCAGCCCTCTCTGTTCTGCAGCACTGACCTGCCCCAGCTGATGCTGCAGCACAGAACAGGCCCAGGGCATCCCTGGGCACTGACATGTGGCGGGAACTGGGGGAACTGGGGGCAGCGGGGCCGCCTGCCCTGCCAGGGCTGCGGCTTCTCTGGCTCCTTCAAGAGCTTCAGCCCCACGGAGAGCCTGAAAGACTTCGACCTGACCCTGGATGGAGGAGCCCCCATGGAGCTGGGGTCCTCCCGCTGCCTCAGACTCCGTTCACCCTCTCACCCTTCCCTGTCTTTCACCATTGCAGCCTGCACTCCCCAGGCCCCTCCACTCCTGCCCAGGCTTGTGGAGGCAGAGGGGCTCCAGACCCTTCCCTGTGGCATCCAGTAACAGGAGAAGAGACAATGGGCACAAACTGAAATAAAGGAACCTCCCGCTAACCATAGTACAGAACTCATTTATGTGGAGGGAGGTCAAGCCCTGGAACAGGTTGCCCAGAGGGGTTGTGGAGGCTCCAGCCTTTGAGGTGATCAAAGCATGGCTGGATGCAGCCCTGAGCAGCCCCTGCTTGAGCAGTGGCCTTGGACTTGGTCATCTCCAGAGGTCTCTTCCCACCTCCTCGATTCTGGGCTTCCTGCTGTGGATGGCATTCCTCAGTGGGGCTGCCTTGATCCTGTTTGCTGCCACTGCTGGAGTCAGAGACAACCCGGGTTGTGACTGTCCCACTGCCACGGTCCACGCGCGGCACAGCCCGCTCCTTGAGGTCTGTGTCCCCGGGCTTGGTGCGTGATCCCGGCAGGCGTGGGTCGGGGGGCCAGCGCTGCGTTTCCCTGCGTGCTGGGGTGTCTTACCAGGCCCTGCGCCCAGCGGGGCTGCGGGACCTCGGCCGGGATCGGCTCCTTGCCGCACGCCATTGCCTGGAGTAGCTGCGGCCTCCTCGCTGACGGCGCTCTCTTCTCCCAGAATAAGCTGGGACTTGCTGCTCGGGGCTTGGAGCTCGCTCCTCTTCCCAATCTCTCCTTTGCTGCTCTCGCTGTTCTCGGCCCCAGGTTCTGCGGGACCTGCGCCGGGACTGGCTCCTTCTTGTGTGCCAGTCCCTAGAGGAATCCTGTCCTGCCCACCGGCGATGTTCGCTCCTCCTCGAGGACGCTGGGATGTCCCGTTCAGGCCTTGGAGCTCGGCGCTCATCGTGAGCAGCGTTCCGAGCCCTCCTCCACTGCCGCCTCCTGCTTCTCGAGGAGTTGTAGCCCCAGGTGTGCTGAGCCCATCTCTGGCCACTGTGGTGCAACCTTGGGGACCTGCTTCGGCCCCTCTCCGGGGTGCCGGCATGGCCACGGTCTCTGCTGTAAGAGCCTGAGTAATGCCGCCATCTCCTCCTTCGTGCAGAGCGTTGAGATCTCCCTGTGCTGCTGTGGTGTGCGATGTCCTGCACCCTGTGGCTGGGGGATCTCTGCTCGGGGAAGATGTGGTGAAGGGGCCGCCGGCAGTTTGGGCACACGGATTTGCTGCGGGCCCACTCCTGTATGCAGGGGTAACAGAAACAGTGCCTGCAGCTGCTCACGCAGCCTTCGCTGCTGGCGGTGCCCTGGCAGATGGAACAGTTTGGGTCCTCGGACGCATCCAGTGGCACAGCCTGGGGCACCTGGCTGGTGCTGGCAGTAGGGGAAGCGGTACCCTGTTCTGCCAAGTCCTCCTCCTCCTCCATTTCACGCTGCAAGCGAGAGAGGTACAAAGCTCACGATGCTCAGGAAGCAGCAGAGGTGCCCGCTCTTCCTCGGGGCTGTGCTTCTGGTGCCCCAAACACCAGGGACTGTCCCGGGACAGACGGGTGACACCAGCACCCTGTGTGCTCCTGCTCTCCGGGCAGGGCGGTGACTGACCCCTCCAAGAAGTGTGGGAATTGGGAAGGCAGGGAAGCGGTTCCCGGCCCCTCTGCGGTGGCAGCGCAAGGGTGGGGGTGCAGCAGGTCAGGACTGGCATCCCCGTCCCACAGATCCTCCCTGCACCTTTGTCAGGGAGCCCGTGGGGCTGGGGGGTGCTTCGTGTCCTGCCCACATGAGGACAGCATGGGGGTCCTTCAGGGCTGCCCCACACCTCAAAAGGGGTGATGTGGTGGGGGTCATAGTGACCCTCTAGTGACATCACAGGGTTTTTGGGGACCACACCCAGAAGACACAAGCCCCGGGCCTCAGGAGGGAAGAAAAAGCTCTGGTTGGCAAGTGTCCTGTGTCCAGTGCTGGGCTCCCCAGTACAAGAGAGACGTGGGCATACTGGAGAGAGTCCAGCACCAAGCCACAAGGATGCTGAAGGGCCTGGAGCATCTCGCCTATGGGGAAAGGCTGAGAGAGCTGATGATCAAGGGAGCTTATGTGCCTTGACTGCACACAGGCACCGACCTTCAGGTAGTTTTCCCCAAGTCTCTTAATTGCCAAGCAAATCCCAAGTAGAGTCGAGTGGAGTGGAATGGAATGGAATAGAACAGTGCCGTTGGAAGGGGTCTACAGCAATCATGTAGTCCAACTGCCTGAGCACGTCAGGGCTGACCAAAAGTTAAAGCATTACATTGCACCGAAGGCTCCTCTCCTTTTTCTTGTTTCTCAAGAGTCTGGTCAAACAGGTGCCCTCCTCTGGGCCGGCTGGCAGCTGGAGCTGGGAAGGCAGGGAAGTGGTTCCCGGCCCCTCTGTGCCCGAAGCCGCAGGGCCCCTGCCCTGTAGCCGGTACCCGTGCTGGGGCCGAGCCCTGCCCGGGGCCGTGGGGCTGTGGGATGGCAGAGTCACCTCCCTGCAGTGTCCCCACCACGCACATGCTGCAGGGTGTCCGACAGCAGCCATCTGCTTGGCCTCAGCCTCCTGCTCCTGCCTGCTGGGACCGTCCGGCTCAGGTGTAGGGCCACTCGGGGCCGGGGGGACCACTCGGGGCTGGCGGTGGCAGGGGATCCCCCCAGGCTCTGCTCCCCTGCCTGCAGGGTGACAGATGGAGCCGGCAATTCTGGAGATGCTGGCATCGAGCGACAGCACCGGAGCAACGTCAAGGCCACTGTGGGTCTGCCCTGAGCCCCCAGAGGTACCGGGGCACATCCCCGGGGCAGGATGACCTTCAGGCAGTTTTCCTCAACTCTCTTAATCTCCAGGCAGTTCCTTACCTGGAGGAATGTCATCCACGGCAGGAATCCCTCCTGTCATCTCCTCTCGTGGCAAATCCTGGACTCGAGGAGGTGGGAAGGGACCTCTGGAGATGACCAAGTCCAAGGCCACTGCTCGAGCAGGGGCTGCTCAGGGCTGCATCCAGCCATGCTTTGATCACCTCAAAGGCTGGAGCCTCCACAACCCCTCTGGGCAACCTGTTCCAGGGCTTGACCTCCCTCCACATAAATGAGTTCTATATTACGGGAGGTTTCTTTATTTTGGTTCGTGCCTTTCGATGCGTCTCAGGAAACTTCATAGGTATTTTGAAATGGCCTAGGCTCCCGGGTGTGCCTTGGGTTACCCTCATCAGGCCCCATTATTTTCCTCTGGGTGCTTCCCCCAGCCCCATCGTGTACCAGGCACGGAACCAGGGGGCTCCCCACATCCCTACCTCTGCTCTTCACCTCTCATTTCCCCAGACTTCCACAGCTGAAACAGATTTATCCATATTGTTTTGCTTTCCTGCCAGTTATTCTCAGAGAAAAATTGCTGGGAGGAGCTGGTATCCCTTCAGTCTGGTTTTTTTTTTCAGCAGAGCCAGGGCTTGGTACAGCAGCAGTTTCACGAGAAAACAAGGTGCTGTTTTGCCATTGCTGGCTGGAGGCTGGATGTGCCCAAGCCGGGCAGCACAGGCTCTGGGCTTCAGCCCCAGCTCCCACCTCGTCCCTGCCCTCACCTGCCAGCCTTTGAAATCCACAGTAATGTATACATTAACATCCCTTTAATTCAGAACTTAGGTTAGCAGGGTAGCTAATAACCTCCCTAAATGGATATTCAGCATGTGGGACACAGGTTTTGCCTATGGATCTGTTTTCTGCTGGAGGGAAGAAGACTAGACACACTGGATCCCTCTTGCACTGCAAGAAATAATTGAAAAAAAAAAACATAAAAGTCAACAAATGGTGAAAAGCACTAGCTGGGGCCCACAGGAGTCTGGTGCTGAGCTCTGGAATTTATATTCCAGGGTGGGAGAGCATCCTGCCTGTCCACATCATGCTCTGCTAGAGCCACTCCTTTGCTTGATCAAGTTTATTTTTCTTCCACAGACCTGAAATTCACCTAATTTTCCAATTATCCTCAAAGTGGGGCTCTTGCTACCAAAGCCTTTCCTGGGGGACCATATACGCAGCGTCAGGTGAGAGAAGCAGGTACCGCTTCACACAGGTGATGCCCATACATACACATGAAGAGAGTGATTGTGTTTTGTTTTCCCTGTATGTACTTTTTTTTTTCTTTAAATGCAGAACATCCCATCTGGTATAAACTGATGTTCGTTTATGTCCTATTCTGGAAAATCCACTCTGGACAAGGAAGCATCTTTGAGCATGGTGCCAGGGACCTGGAAATGCTGGATGTGCCCACCTAAAACCATGCACACAAACATTGCACCGGGAAAACCCTGGGAAGATACATGTCAACATTCTGCGTGGAGGTATGTTTGTGCCAAAGCTGTATTGCCGCTATTTTAGAATAACAGCGATTAATAAAAGATTCAAACAATTTCTGCTGAAATAATAATAAAAAAAAAGGTTCTTGAAAAAGTGCAAATAGACTGAAATAGTCTCAAGGAAGAGCGACCACATTTGGCCAGCGCTGCTCTGAAAGAGGTCAGCTGTCCAAAAGCTGCTTCAGTCTGTGAATTTAGGGGGTCTTTACAAAAACCGGCACCTCTGCAAGGCTGGCCGAGTAATTCCTGAGGATGGTGCCTCCGTCAAACACGCGGGCAGTGTTGGTATCCATCCATAGGTGCCCTTCTCCAGGTAAGTAGATATCTCTCCACGTTTGCCCTTTTTCTGTTATTGGGGCAACCAGGACCTGCAATGAAAAAGAGAAAAAAAAAAAAAAGGCAATTTAGCACATGGGGGATTAGCCAGGACGTGGCACTAGCTGCACCAAGCAAACCACGAGGCTGAGGGGTCAAGCAACCACAGACAAGGTGAGAAAAGATGATGCAGGGGCCTTCAGGTGCCTGGGACTGGGATCATCCCTGCCTGCAGTAGCCCCTAGAGTTGATCCAGCTCATGTTTTGGAAGACCTGAAAAAAAAACCACATCAGAAATCTGTTTCTCCTGCAAAACAAAGCTTGTGCTTCTAGGTTGAGCAAGACAGGGTGGGTGCGGGCAGCTCAGGAGCACGGGCTGGCCCCTAAATCCCAGGTACTGCAGAGGGGTTCAGGCTCACACGAAGCAGCTTCTGAGGGGGTTTTATGGGATTATAATGGGAATTGGTGGCACAGAGTCAGGGCGAGAGACATCCCTGTGCCTTGTGGGGGATTTGTGGCAGAACTGGGAGCTCCTCTTTCCTCCTGTGACCCTGTGCTTGGTAGGATCTGGGACAGGCAGACTCTTTGATATGATTTATTCAACGAAGTCAAATGTAATCTGGTATGAAACCAAGCAGAAACTCATATTTCAATTAGAAATGAACACATGATAGGGGTGGGAGAAGAGCTTTACCTCCAGGCTGCTAAAAAGGAGGGCTCTGCCCACGGCTGCTCTCCAGGCAATTTAACCCTCCCTTCCCACCTTTCCTCTCCTTCATTTAGGAGAAATATTTATGTTACAGCCTCTCAGACTAATTAAGTGTTGCAGGTTACATGAACCCTAGGAAAAGCTCATGTTCAAAATACGCAACATGATATATACAATCTCAAGCGACATATTCACATTAATTCTATGGACTCAAGGCTCCTTCACAGATTCGAGGGATTTAGCTGCCCAATGCCCTCAGATGTTCATGAAAATCTCAGTGAAAATCTCAGCCAGTGGCTTTGGCATATGGGTAATTGCATTGAAAAAAGTATATAAAAATAAAAGCATAAACAGCCCTTGTTCTTGGGTCACAAATCAGTGAGTCCCATTAGGACATAAGGCATAGGGAGAAGTGTGCTCTGCTCACTTCTCTGCTCACTTCTCCCCAGTGAGGAGGTACCAGTCAAGGTAATCCAGTCTCCAAAGAACTTTGGAGATGTAATGTTTTTCCTTGCTTTATGGAAAAAGCAGTTTCCAACATTTCGAGAAAATTTATTCCTGATAAGTTATTTCACTTCAGAAACTGAAAGAGGTTTTCAGGGCCCTAAATAAGAGTTTTGCAAGAAAAGCAAAAACCCTAAACCCACACAAAACCAGCTGTTTTGGCTTCAATTTAAATCTGCCTGAACGCTGAGGCTTTGATTTGTATTTGTACAGAACTGGGTTCACATGATGACAAAGAGGGGATGACAGGAAAAAAATTAAAACTCTAGAAAGGCCATTAAAAGAGGTAAAAACCCCAAGGCTAAATAGTGAAAATTGGATATGAAATTTATGGGTCAGTCCCTCTTAAACGCCTTTTTTGGAGGTCCTGTTCAACAGCAAAGAGCAAGTGCTGGGGACTCATCCCTGCACCCTTTGGTGATGCTCCTTGAGGCAGCATCGTCCCAGGAGACATTGCGGTGTTTGGCACACTTTGGGGGACACTTTTGGATCCTCCTGACCTTTATAAATGTATTTGGCAGCAAGACCTGGCTTCCCTGCCTCTTGCAGCACCCACTCTCGCCAGGCAGATGGCACTGACAAGCAGCGATGCTGCATCACAGCCACAAACCAGCACACAACAGTATTTTTTTTTGCCAAATCAGTGCAACTTGTCTCTGCTATTACATTTCAACATGCTCTGTTGGAAGGATTCAGCGGCAGTCAGCTCCGGTTCCCTTTCCCAGCAGTGGAAATTGGCTCGTGAGCAATGCTGGGATATGGTTGTGCAGTGTTAAATCCAGTTTCAAGACCTCTAGTCAAGGATCAAAACCACCCCGACCACTGCAGTCCCACACCACTGCATCCCAAAACCCCCTGCAGAAACCCAAAGGCATTGCTGTCCCCTCTGCTCGAAGATTCAGATATTTGTTTCCCCTTGTAGTCAGCAAAAATCTGACAGAAAAGCTTATTGAGCACTCCTGCTAATTTGACAGATACGTTGTCCAGACTGATTCAGGTTGAACGTGTGCTGCCAAGAGATCTGGATGAACGAGATCTGGAAGCAAAGAATGTATAAATCACAGCTTGAAAACCACATTTCAAAGCAGGGCTATCCCTCCCAGCCCAGAGGTACCCCCAGAAAAGCCTGGGGTGCAACTCAGGAGCTGGAGGGCTTTGGCAATAACACACAGCCGTGTTTGTCAGCAGCTCCTTGCACTGAGGAATGATGCTCAAAAGGTTTATCCCAGCATCCTACCACTTAGTCCTGCACAGACCATACCGGGACAGAACCACCCTCTGTATTTTCCAGTAGTTTATTATTAGTGATGCTCCGAATTGCACCAAAGCCGGTTTTGGAGTGCATTTCTATTATTTCAGCTTCCAAAAACTAGCTTGGAAGTCAAAACATCCCCTGTCTGGGCTCTCCAGCCACAAGCTCAGGCTCTTTTGGAGAAAAAAAAGTAAAATAAAAAAAATCAGCAAGCTTTTTGCCAGACTCACATCATGCTTTATCAGAAATGCTTGGCTCTGACAAGTTCATGGAGCAGATACCGCATTTACTGTATTTTACAAGCTTTCAGCCAAGCCAAAGCTTTGCACCTCCTGGGAGAGAGGGCTAAAGCTGCTCCGACCTTTTTTTTCTCCCTGAGTTTGTGGTATTTTACTGAGAACCTCACCTCCCTAACACAGACCACATTTCTGCCCTGGCTGATTCAACTGCATCTGGGATTTTTCAGTTTGAGAGATTCTGGGGGAAGGAACTAGGGTTTAGCCTGCTCACAGTTATACCCACCAGCACCATCACTGCCCAGCGTGTGCTCTGCAGCACGTGGGGACGGCAGAAATCCCTTGGCCCCCTCCAGCCCCTGGGCTTGCACAGTGCTGGCCTGAAATTCATTTGTGCCAAGGATTTGTATTTTAAAACCTTCCCACCTGATTATCTGAGCTCCCTGCTAAAATGTCTTTCTGCTGCTTCTTAAGTAATCTCCTGCAGTGAAAATTTCCTTTAAAAAAAAAGCAACTATAGATTGAATCTGCAGAATTTGTGTCCAGAAACTCAAGCTTGGAAATCAGGTGTTGCAATGTCTGTTGGAGGCTGTGAGCAGAGCCTGGAAAGGAATCGCAGCACAAGCTGTTTCGTTATTAAAACAAGAAACAAACTCCCATTGAACTTTGGTTTGGGCTTTGAGATTTTTCTAGGGAGAGAATGTCCCCATGATTAGCAGCATTGTCTTGTAAAGACAGCCTTACAAGTTGCTGCAAAATGACTGCAACAGTATGAACTGAGGATTATGCTTTTAATGAAAGAAAAACCCCCAAACCTGTAGAAACAGCCACAGTCTTGAGCTGCTGGGATCCTGCACCCAGACAAAGACAATGAGGACAAAGATAAAGTGATGCCACCGCACAAAATAAAAAGTCTCCTTACAAAAATGGGAAGGTGAGGCACAGTTTTCTTTAAGAAAAGTCTTTTTCAGAAGGCCTGAATTTTCCTTTCCAAGACCTTTTTTGATTTAAAACAGCTCTCTATCACATTAAACATCACGCCATCTATGTGCTAAATGAACGCTTCTCGAGCTGGTGTGGGATGAGGGGGACATGTCTGCAGGGCGGGTGACAGGAGAAACTCCCCCCTGCAAGCCCCAAGTGTGAAAACACCAGACACGCAAGGACTATTTACAGCATGAAACCACTGAAATCTGAACAAACAGGAAAAAATCTGTGGGGAAACAGATGACAGCCCTGTTTAAATCTCTACTAGAAAAATGGATAAAAGCATCAACCCTCTTAAATGTGCCACAGACATCGGGATAGCGTGCACCTAGCTTGCTGTGGCCTTATATATTTGATGGTCTCAGATCTGGCAGCCCTCAGATGCCGGGTAAACCCTCGCTGCAGCTGCCAGTGGGGGAAAATACAGATTCAAGTAAGGCCTACAGGCAATATGTGGATGGGCGAACCCAACTGGGACACCGATGTCAGCCTGAATTTGGGCCCCAGGGTCTGTGCTCTGATGCTCCTCATCTCTTCTGGATTGCATTCAATTTGGATCAAAAAAAACCCAAAAACGCGGCTAGAGGAGATTCCGGAGAAGACCAGGGAGCTGCACATTGTGCTGCTCCTTGGTTGTTGCAGGCTGTAGCCCCAAGTAATTGGATTAACAGCCTGAAAAGGGGGAAAATGAGCAATGGCGACTATTGGGATCTGTCTTCCAGCAGAAAGCACTGAAAAATACCCTGATATTAAAAAATTAAAGGAAAAAAAGAGGTCTTGTTGACTCTTCATTCTGAATAAATCGCAAACCTGAAGGAGCCAACAGGGTCCCGTCAGCCCTTTGGTTTCACACAACCTCTGTACGAGCGCTGTATTCGGGCAGGATGGGTGAGCGCAGGGGGCACCTTATTTGCCCCCAGTTACCCTTTGGGAGCGTTTAGTCCCCACATCTCCTACCTCATCTCCAATGAGAAATTCATCCTCTATGGTAAAAGCAGTTGGATCTGTGGGACTGAGCCACCACGCCGGCCGGAAGATGGGGTACCCAAAACTAAGCCATTCCTCACTGTATTTTATGAGGAGTGGCACAACAAAGTCCTGGTGTCTCTGTATGCATTGCCGGGTAAGATTCAGGACCTGCAGGGAGGGGGAAGAAAAAGAAACCCATGACAAGTCCTTCATGCAATAAACAGCAAAGGAAGCAGAAAAAAACCCCAACTCATTCCCTTAGGAAGAGAGATTACCAAATTGCAATGTCCCGATCAAGTTATGACAGCTAACAAGGTGCAAACAGGGTTGATTCAGCAGATTTATTCCCATTTAGATGTGAAAGCTGGGGTCAGCGGCTGGCAGGTGATATCTGCTGGGGTGTCTAACCAAAGCTGTTAACTCTTTTGCTGGCAAAGAGATTTAGTGACATTTCCCCCTGTGCCCCTGGTTTAAAGAATTGCTCTCCCCTTTTATTGCCCTAAAGGTGATGTCCCTGGGAAAATATCTCCAAGTGTTTAAAAAGGTATTGGATGTGAATCTGCAGGCTTCACTCTACTGTAGATACTATTTGATCAAACTATAATTAAATAACTCCAGCAGCAATGGGGAGGGAGAGACATGGTATGATTGCTGTCATTTCTACCAGCACTGCTGACACCGGCCTCGTGGTTGCATGTAGCTGCCAAGTATAAAGCCACAAAAACTCACATTAATTTTGCAGCAAAGAGGCTGCTGAGCGATCGCAGCGATCTGGTTGCTGGGGCAGAGTGCAGGATTTTGTGGGTAGCAAGAACAGGACAGTGACCATTAGCCTCAGCTTCCCCCAACGGGGACCTTAGTGGCTTTTGGGGGTGTTTGTCACGCAGGGGCAGTGGGGCGGGGGGTACGTACCCAGGCGTCGCAGCAGAGCCAGGGCGGCGTGCTGAAAGCCATCACGGGGAGGAACGTCACGATCTGCAGCCACCGCACGTAGAGCTCCGGGTCCCCGGGGGTGTCACCGGCCAGGCTCCCTCCTGGGGGGACAGGGCGCTGGGTGAAGCTGCTGGGGGGCATCTCACCGTGGGCCGCATCCCACACGACCTGCTCTCCGTGCGGGCAGGACACCTTATCCCCTCGCAAAAGCAGCTGAATTCTCCCCACCCGTGTTTTTTTCCTTCCTTGAGCGCCCTCGGCAAATGCCAATCAGACATCCAGCTCTGGCCATTTTAGGGCCAGATATGTTGGGACTGATGTCTTGGGAGTTTCTAAATTTTAGCAGAAAATTGTAAAAAGGGATTTATCTCCTGCAAAGAAAAACGTTGGGAAAAACGCTGGACTTTCCTGGCACTCTGATGTGCAAAGGCGAAGCATCACAGGAAAATACTCTTGTAATTTGGATGCCTTCAAATTCATAGTGAAAAGCAGTGGAGAAGCAGAGTATTGCTAATTAATTAATCAGAAACATGTAGTGGAAGGGGAGTCCAGTTCCCCTCAGAAACACCAGAGAGGGGCTTGGGAAGACAAGAGAGGATGGGACAGGGAAAGGAGAATGAAGCCCTTGGAGCTGGAGCATTCCGAGGGGCAATTGCTCAAAATCTGGCACAACTTCCCCTAGAAATGGCACAAACCCCCACACCGAGGGTTCACCCAAGCCACCTACAAAGCCCCATTTCCTCCAGAGGCTTTTCCCATCCGGAGTGGCCCCGAGCTGTGGTGAGACAACGCGATGGAGCACGTGCCCCAGCACCAAATGCCACACGCCATGACCAACGGGTTCATCGTCCCCTCGGGGAGGGAGTGGGTGTGCTGCGATTGCCTAAGCCTTGTTTTCTAAGGAAAACTGGCTAAAAATAGAGGCCAAATTGAAAAATTGCTCATCAACCCCCTTTTTCAGGACTGTCTTTGCAGCTCTGTTCTCTGGGTCTGACGCTTCACATGCAGCCTCTGTGTGTTTGGGGCACGTTGTAAACACAAATAACCTGGTCAGCTCCAAGAAGAGAGGGAAACCGAGCTGCTTGGCCCCAATTAAAGGATTGTTTCTTGACTTTTATAATGTTTTTATTTAAGGATTTCTCAAGCCATTGTGCTTTGGAGCAGAAATGCAAACTTGGAGCAGGGCTGCTGGTGTTTTAGGAACATCTCTTTCCCAGCCAGCAGCCCGGGCATGCGGCTTCCCAGCCCTGGGCTCCCTCCTCGCTTTGGCCCGGGGGGGTTTAAGTGCAATTAAAGCAGTGGGAGGTGGCAGGCTGCCCTCCGCCTGCAGTGAAGCAGCTCTGCGAAGGGCATCCCCAGAGACCCGCCTGCTTCTGGGGCTGCCTATTAAAATTTACAACGTGGTTTTTTTGTTTTCAATTCCTTAGTCGGATCCCCTGGTAACATTCAGCCCAACCAAGTCAGCCTGACAGAAAACTGGGTACCAGGAACAAAGTGCTTCAAAAACCTCCAGAGAGCACACCTAAGCCAGATGGTGCAAACACACCCCCCGTGCTCCTCTTGCCTGAACAACTGCTACAAAAAAAGCCAGAAATAAGGGAAAAGGCACGAAAGAAATTATTACCTACTGCATCAGGGATGAAGAAGTTGTAGCCCAGGAGGCTGTAGTGCAGCACGGAGGGGATCACCCCCTTCAGCCCCGCGTAGCTCCAGTCCGAGCGCAGCGGGCTCATCTGGACGAAGAACGGCAGATGGCTGGATCTGGGGCGAACAAGCACAAACCCAACGTCTTCAGCTGCCTGGCAGGAGCCAAGGCGCTCCGACACCCGGCTCTCTTGGCAGTCACATCGCTCAGATATGGGTTTCTCCAACGACTTGGCGTCTGTTGGGGGGAAATCAGCGGTCCCCAACACCCCTCCCACCCACTGCGCCTGCCCTGCCGAGCTTGGCAACCCCAGTCCTCCTCCTTCTCCCCAGATCCCCTCATGCAGAGCTTTCCTTCTCCTGCCTTGATCTCATGGGCACAACTCCGTGGCCCCCCTTGACGGCAGCCCAGCAGCTCTCTGGGTTCTAGCCATCTTCTTGCTAATTCTCACACAACACGGACCCCGGTGGGACAAGGCTCACAAAGCCGGGGCAGCCCTACAGCACCCTCAGCCCCGGGCCACGTTGTCCCCCACACGCAAAGCACCAACCTCCTTGCGACACAGGTGGGCAGGGGACATGTCCCACAGGGAGGATTTCTCCTCCTGGCTTTTGTTCACGCTGAGCAGCTGTCATTCCTGACAGCATCTTTATCTATCTGCCAGAGGAAAACATTATTTTCCCCAAGTTGTTTTTTTCTTTATTTTCAGTAGCGTTTCTATGTCTTGGGTTTTCTTGGTGATGCACAGGGCTATGTCATCAAGGAGCACAGAGTGGGAGACTGTTGCTGGTGTCCAAAAAGGGTCAAATCTGGACCTTCATGATGAGCTTTGGCTTGAAAAATGGTGTGGAGCTCATCTAACCAGAGGGGGATTTTTGGTCTGAGTCTGCTTGCACCTGGAGTTTAGGTTCCTCCTCAACCTCCCACCCGCTTATGACTCCCCAGAGGTCTCCCAGGGACACTTTTTCATCTGAGGGGGTGGTAAGACTGATGTGATGCTTTATGAAACACTTCTGGTTTGGAAGCTGCCCACCAGGAGAGGTGTGATCCTGGACGGACTAAGAAGTGCTTAGGGCAGGGGCTTTTCCCACACCCTGGTTTGGCAGATGGCTGAGTAAGAGCCTGTCACCACCTCAGCATGTGAAACGTTGCTTTTTCTTTGAAAATAAACTAATCCGAAGTTGCCTTCCCAAGCAATTTACCATCCATGCCTCACCCACAACATGAAATAGGTCATTTTGCAAACAGCCTGCATATCCTCCATCTGCCAAACATAAAAATAATAGGAAAAAGAAAAGTAATAGTTTGCGGTGCTTTTAACCAAAGGGTCTCAAGGCATGTTGCAACCATAATTAATAAATTAATCCTGCTGTGGGCTATGCAAGCATGAAAAGTCAGAACATTGCAGTCGCTTGACATGACAAGTAATTACAAACACAGGCATTTAGCCAAGACGCCAGGGTTCACCCCCTCCCTCCTGCTGCAGAGGCAACGACCTGAAGTTTGAATGGCTGTAAATGACAAGGTGCATTTTTATTGCACCTGGCGTTAATGCATTTAAGCATTTTTTTTATGCTCTGGGACATAAAAAAAAAAAAAAAAAAAAAAGAAGTCAATTAAAATGCTCTGAAAGAGAGAGGGAGGGTAGCTGTACGAGAGCAAGCCCTTTCTGTGTGTTGCCCTAGACGACCTCCACGCTGCTTCCCTGGGTGCTGAGCGGTGCCTCAGCACCCCAAGGGCACATTTAAAGCATCACCACCACCCTCTCCCCAGCCGCCAGCTCCGGCCAAGCATCTTCTCCTCCCCGGTACCCACCCGGCTCCGGCGCTGATGACGGTGGCGTTGCCCAGTGCGGCCAGTGCCGCCGCCAGCGCCGCGGTGTAGCGGTCGCCCGCCAGCTCGGCGGGAGGTGGCACAGCTTGCTCCAGGAAGGCATTGCCCTCGGCGCCCTCGAAGACCACGTACGCGGCTCCCAGCGCCTGCCGCAGGCGCCGGGCCCGGGCCAGGAACCAGTTCAGCGCCGCCTCGCTGGTGACGTTGAGGCGGGCGCAAAGCCGCCCCTTCCACGTCGTCAGCAGCGGGACCTGCGGCAGAGGGGCAGAGGTGCTGTCAGACCCACCAAATATCCCGCCGGACCCACCAAATAGATATCCCGCCAGCCCCGGAGGGCGCCTGCCCTGCCGCGGTCTTCACCAGCGTGGTGTGAGGTGTGAACCCTCTTCTCCACCCCACCGAAACGATCCCGCCATTGGTGGCAAATTGGCACGTTGTTAAAACGACTGCAAAAAAAAAAAAAAAAGGGACTCGGGGGATTTTCTGAACGCTGGCAGCTTTTAAAAATATCTTTTGGAAATGGAAATTTGAAATTAAATGAAACGCTGCTTCCTCACGCAGCGGGAGAAAAGCTGCTCCCCCAGGTGTTGCTTTGCACCCGCAGGGTTTGCCCCCAATGCCGGAGGGCCGGGTTGTTCCTTGCTGCGGGTACGTATCCCACTTTAATTTCAGTTTTTGGTGGAGCAGGAGGCTCAGGGTCTGGGGGGAGGGTCTCGTACCGAGCAGCCCCCGAACTGGAGCTGCAGGCTCAGCCAGCGGCTGGCCGCCTCGCCGTCCCGCAGCGAGCGCAGGAAGAGCGGGGAGGCGATGCTGGCGTACGGGGACAGCGTGATGGAGAGCTGCAGCGGCGCGATCAGCGCAGGGTCCCAGGCGCGGGCTGCATCCTGCCTCCTCCTGCGCTCCGGGGGCACGTGGTCCTGCGGGGAGCGAAAGGCAGAAAAAGGTGTTTTGTAGGAGCGGCCGAGCCGCCGTGGGGGGAATCTCCAGACGGATCATCCCTTCTCGGGGAGGGGAGGCTCCCAGCCCCCACCCCACAGAACGGGCACACTGGTGTTTTACACGTCCCTACGTATTTAACAGTGCCGACGGCAGCGCTCCCACTCTCTTTCCCTTCTGAGCCCGCGGGCCGGCAGGACGGGACGTACCGCGGCGGCGAGGATGGCAGTGCCGCGCTCCCCCAGGGCCACGACCCCCTCCTGAAGGCGATGCCGCTTCAACCTCCTGGCCAGCGACCTCAAACCCCGTTTTATTTTGGCAGCCGATCCCGCCGGGCCGTAATACCGCCAGATGGGAGACCTGCGCGGTGGAAAGAGCCGGGGCGAGGGGGGGTTACACCCTGTGCTGGCACGGGATGCTCGGGGCGGCGACCGGGACGAGGGCTCGGAAAGCATCGCCGCAGCGGGGAGGGACGGAGCATCTCACCCCAGAAGGGCCGTATCCGGCAGCGCCCGCGCCTGCCCCCCGAGCTGGCTGCCCACGTGCCGGTGGGCGGCCGCCACGTCGGGGCTGACGCAGAGGAGGTAGCGCAGGGGCACGGCCTCGCTCCCCGCCGGCGTTTCCAGGCAGAAGTGGCTGTTGTTCTCCAGCGAGAGGAAGAAGGGCACATCGGGAGCCACCGTCACCGTCACTCCTGGGGGGGGGACACGAGAGGAAAACGGTGTCTCGGCAAGCACCAGGCTCCTCAGTCCCCGTGCTGGTGGCCGCAGGGACAGGGATGCGCGGGGCAGGGCCTAACTGGTACTGGGACATCCCGGGCTGATCCCAGCCATGCAAGCAAATCCCCACTCTCAGCTTCTGCTACTCCCTTTTAACCTCCAAAATGCCTCTCAGGGGCTGGGTTTGCTCCATTTCTTGCCTTGTTGCTCTGCCTTCAGCTCAGGCAGCGGCTTCAGCTTCATCAGTGCAGGGCAGCCGCAGATCGGTTGATTAATTTGGGGGAATATCTGAAGTTTGGCGTTCTGCAGAATAGTCCAAATATCCACCCAAACATGACAACAGCAGCTAAACTCCTGCCCGCACCCAGCACCCCATGGCAGTGCCAGGGACCCACGAGCTCGGGGCGAAGCCACTCGAGTGGAGCTGGAGGATGCAGCAACAGACACAGATCTCTGCTTAAAAAACAAAAAAAACCCGCCAAGAGCATGGGGTTTCACTGGGGCGACTTGGGCCAAGCCCGTCCTCTCAGGCAGTGACTTGTAATCTCATTTTAGCTGGGGTGAGGTTTGGTATCACGGCCTTTTCCACAGGGATGAGGCCGTCTGGGATCCATCCCCTGTGTGCTGCTGCCAGCTGACATCACATCTGTAGGAGATTTTAATCTCGGAGACATCTACCCTGCTCCTAAACTAGTTTCTTTACAGATAAGGAGAGGGATGGGAAACCACAGTGATTAAAGCAACAGGACGTTGGGCAGGGAAAGACGGGATTACCTGTCGAGCCCAAAAAGTATCTCTCCAAAACAGGCCCGTAGCCGGCGGGGTTTTTGCCAAAGTCGCCGCTGACGAAGGGCTGCGTGCGGCTCTCGGCGCCGTTGAGCGGCCAGCGCTGGGCACGGATGCTCACCCCCCCGTACCAGGAGACGTTGGCCATGGAGAAGCAATCCTGCAACCAAGAGAGATCCTCAGGAGGCGAGGAAGTCCAGTGTCACCAGAGCAGCCATGGGACAGGTCTTTTCCCAGGAAGAAAAATCCCAACTCCCTGAGATTTAGGGGTTTTATGCAAAAAGCAGTGGGTGCTCACTCTACTTCCACATCTAACCCAGTAGAACATACTTGGGTTTAAGCTTTTGCTCTGCAAGAACAAGAGCTAGGCTTCCAGGTACAAAAAAAGAACGCTGAAATTCAGCCTAACTACTTGATTTCTCAGCCTGCAGTTTATTAGAATTATCAAAAGGTATAAGTGTAGGAAAAGACGAAAAAAATTATAACAAGAATCAAAAGTGTAAGTTATGTGTTTTGTTTACCTTGGAGAAAGAAAAAAAGTCTTAACTTGCTAATTAAAGGCTAACAAAAGGCAAATACAACAAGTATTCTTCCTTTTCCCTTTACGTGTCTGCGTTCAATGTGCAGCCAGGCAGAGGAATATAAAAATACCACCACAGGAATAAAAACTCTATTGCTTAAAAATTATGGTTTCCTTTAAAATAAAACCCCCAGAAGACATCTCCCCCAAAGCCTGCCAGTCTTCGATAGATGAACTTAACTAAAGTAAAATTGCTATGAAGCAGCCTGGAGACCAGAGATCACACCCGCGGCCCGGAGAGCCTGGCTGGTTACCAACCACAATAGCCAAAAACTAACGGGTTTTGGAGTTTCGGGTGAAAAGATGCTGAAAACTGTTTAAGTGAGGAGGCTTCGCAGGTGCGTGTCACTGCGGGGCGGGAGCAGCAGCCGAGGTGGAAAATTCAAGGCAGCAGCTTTAAAATACAGCAGCGCCCTCTGAGACCCAGCTTAGAAAAAAATCTGTTTGCTTGGGTTTTTTATTGAAGAAAAGAAAGAAACCTCTTCAAGCTACTTTCTGCAGTGTTCCTGGGGTGAATTTGCAGCTATCCCCACCTGCGTGCACACAGGAAGATTTGAACCTCGTCATGGAGCTCATCTCGACAGCACCCCAGGGTGACCTGCAGGTTTTTGGCTCTCTCCCAAGGCAAAGCCTCCCTCTTCCCCGAGGGCTGATGATAAAAAGTGCTTCCCTCAGCGAGACTAAATCACTTTGAGTATTTGGGGCACTTCTCATAGGGCTGACGGGGCAGCAGAGCAACAAGCCCCCTCCAAAAGCCGCCAACCCCAGGGGACATCCCCATCCTTGACCTGCCTCCTTTCAGAAACCATCGATTTTCACTTCAAAGCCTCTAAACACTTTCTCTTTCCTGCCAAAGCAGGGGATCAGCAGGATTTAGCATCCCGCGTGACTGCACATGTGAGGACGGGCTTCCCCGAAAGCCGGGGCATGTGGGGCTGCGGGGGGAGGTCGGGCCGGGCAGGAGGGACCCGGTGACCTCCCAGCTCAACCCAAAGCACTTTTATTCACCCCGACCCCGAGGCTCGGGCAGTGGCCCTGGAGCCCCGAGCTTGCCTCTGCCGCGGGGGCAGAGAGAGGTTAAGTCTCACTGAGGGGTGGGGAGAGGAGATGTAAATTATTAAAGTGGAAACCCTGGAGGCTCGGAATAGCTGTACTAGGTGTCAGCTGAACTAGTTACACCAGCTGGGAAAGAATGAGGGAAAAAAAAAGCCTATTCTTAACTCTTAAATTTCCCTGGATTATATTTTCCAATAGTTTGTTTTTTTGTTAGTTTTTGCTTTTTTTCAAAATGAGAAAAACCTATTCTATCTTGCTTGCCCTCTCAACCACCCCAAATTGATGTCAGCAGGAAAACCAGCCCAACGCACGGCGGTTGTGCTCAGGCAACACCTTCCACCAGCCTAAAACAATGTCAACAGGTGATTTACGGCTAAAGGGGAAAATTCCCCATCCCCAGAGGATCCCGTCCCACTCCCTCGCCTGTCCCAAGGGCTCCCCACAACAGGCCACCATGACCTGACAGGGTTTTTCCTTCCCCTCCCTAAGGCTCGTTTTCAGAATCTGCTTTTATTTAACCAAGGGAGAAAACTGGGAAGGATACAAAAAAAAAAAAAAACCCAAAAAACCCATAAATTTTTGCAGCAGCGGACATGGATTAATCCCATCCCGAGAGAGCTGCCACACTGTGCCTGTGGTTGGAAGGGACCTCTCCGAGCTCCTCGCGTTTCTCGCCAACATTGTGATCTTAAGCGGCTATTTATTCAGTCTCTACATAAACACGGTTCTCCCACCCCGGGGTTCCCAGTGCGGCACTGGGAGGAGGCGGCCGCGGCCCCCCTCGGTGTTTTGGGGGCTCAGCACCAAGGCACGAGGCTTCCAAAGGGGCTTTTCCCACCCGGGACCCTCCAGCTACTGGAGGCTTTGGGAGATGGGGTGCCCCCGCCATGGTGCCACCCCGTCACCGTGCCGGGAGATTGTGTGTTCAGGCCCGATCCTCCCCGCTTGGGCTCGTTTCACCCCGGAACGCCGCGGCTCAGAGAAGGGCACGGGGGTCACCTTTACCTTCAGCATGATGTCGGGGCGCAGCGGGGTCCAGCGGACGCCGTAGCACTCGGTGCCGGGGGCCGGGGGGGGCTCCAGGGAGAGCCGGAGCTCGGCACCCTCCTCCCAGGCGTAGCAGAACTGCCCGCCGTCGTGCCAGCAGTGGTCCCGCGGCGGGGGCGGCTCGGTGGCCGGCACACCGCCCACCGCCACCACCGCCACCGTCCGCCCCGCCGGCAGCACCCGCAGCAGCAGAGCACCCCGCTGGCGCTCCCACAGCACCCCGCCAGCGCGGCCCCGCAGCACCCACTCCTCCGGGGACTGCTCCTGCGCCTGCCAGGAGATGATGCCGATGGTCATGGCGAAGAAGACGGCCACGCCGACGCACCCCACGGCACCTTTCCAGGGCTCCGACATCTCCCTGAAGGTCAAGATCCAAGTGGCCTCGGGGAGGCTGCTGGCGTGGCGGGTGGGTGGCATGGGGTGACCACGGCGGGATGCTCCGGCGCCTCTTTCTCTCCCCTCCTGCAGCGGCACAAGGAAGAAAACCCTCTTCTTGGATTGCTCCAAAATTATGTAGATATAAAAAAAAAAAAAAAAAAAAAAAGTTTGAAAAAAAAATTAAGCCACAACTCTTTGCAGCAATCCGAAGGTAAGAGGAGTCTCTCCTGCAGCCTCCCTCCGCTCGCTGCTGCGCGGCGAATCCCGCTGCCGAGCTCGGTGCTGGCTGCGACGGCAGCTCGACCGCAAAACCGTGTGTCGGGTGTCAGCTCGGCCCCTTGGCACGGCCGGCAGCACCCGCTCGGTGACGCCGGCCGGGCCCACGGACACGCACACACGTGGCCCAGAGCCACGGGAGGGGACCCGGGGCAGCGCTTGAGCCCCCCCAGAGCTTTGGTTTTTTTTTTTTTTTTTTTTCTTTGTGAAGTGGCGCAGCTTCGCTTCTCAGTTTGCAAAGCAGCAGTAAATAGCCGGCGGGGTGCAGAAAAAAAATATTGCAAGGGTGGTTAGAGAAAGAGCGGCGGGGGGGGGGTGGGGGGGTGGAAATGCAACACCGGTTTTCCATCCCCCTTCCCTCTTGCCTGTAGAAGTATTTGATTAATCCGCAGAGAGGGGGAGAAAAATTACCTGTGGGCACGGTGCAGCGGCGCTGGCTGAGCCCCCGCTCCAGGGAACGGGACCCGGTCAGCGGGCGAGGGGCCACCCACGGCGATGGTCTGGGGGTGGGGGGACACCCGGCTCCCCCCGGCCCAGGGTGCCCCCGGGGGGGCTGGGTGCTGCCTCTGCCCGGCTCAGAGCACCCGCCTGGGGCATCCCCCCCCAACACCCCCAGGCAAAGCTGCAGCTGCCTTTCCTTGAGCTAAAAGCAGGTTGGAAGATGCTTTAGCAGCCCCCAAAAGCGGTTGCCGGTGACTGAGCGCTCAAGCCCCGATTCTTTTTCCACTGTTGGATTGGGCAGCAGGTTTTTCTCCTCTTTCCCCAGGGTAGTTTTTCCTCCTGGCCACGTCAGAGACCTTTATAGCCAAGGCAACTTGATCCAAACAAACCCAAGAGCGTTATCTAAGATGAGACACAGCGTGCTCCCTCCCACCCTGCTCCTCTGCAGGCTCCACGTATCCCCAGGTAGCTACATTAGAAACAAAGGCAGGAAATTAAGAAAATAATTTTAAAAAGTATTTCTTTCTACAGGAATAATTTTAAAGGGGTTTTCTGCAAAGTTGTTGAGATGGCTCCAGTTGAGCCCTCATTACACACCTGCGAATCCACACGTGAGGAAGCCGGGGCAGCGCTAAACCTCCCCATTCTGCTGCTTTGGCCTTTTTTGTTGATATTGTTACTATTAGTATGTTTTGGAGGATTTTCTCCCCATTTCTACCTCACACAAAATGAGCGGCTGGGGCCCCCCTTGGGTCACCTCCAGGGCTGCAGAAATAGGTGTTGCTTGTACCCGAAAGCATAGCACCCTTGCAGAGGGAAGCAGCTACCTGAGACCATTGCAGTCCTCACCAATGCAGAAAAACCTGGAAATCTGGGTTTTCCATCCCCTTTTCCATGCCCCACACACTCATCCCACCAGCCCTCCCGCTGCCTGCAGGTGACCAGGGAAGACCTGGATTTTACGAGCAATATTACAACCTGTTGGCTGCCAAGCTGTTTGAAAAAAAAAGAATAAAAATATTGAGATTTCAAAGGGTTTCCCCATTCTGCATCCTGGCAAAACCCCCAAAACCCCAAGCCCTGAACCCAAAGACAAATGCACTGCTCACCGCAGCAGATGCTGCTCTTTGGGAGGGTCTTGGGAACGCTGAATCCACTGGGAAAATCCTTGGCCACAACCCAAATAAGCCCCTGGAGGGACCTTTCCCACAGGCACCCCCCAGGATCAGGTTTCCATTTCAGCTGGGGCAATATCCAGTGTGGGATGGTGGGGGAAAGGGGTCGATGCTATGGGGACAAGCCTCTCCCAGCCACTAACAGGGGATCCAGGGCGGGGAGAAAAGGTCGGATCCAGGATAAGGAGAAAGGATGAGGCGGGTTTCACTGAAATCTTGGAGATGAGATGGGGCCAGAAAGGGAGCGGGGATCCTGGGGGAAACGCTCTCTCCAGCTGCCAGGTTAGAGGAGATTATAGCAAAGCTGCAGGTGACGGAGGCGTGAAGTGCGAAAGAAAGGTCACAACTCTCACAGGACCCCCCCAAAAAAGCTGTCAAGGTTGTGAACTTGAAACTAGTTAAAATAAAGGGAAAAACATTAAAGAAGGAAGAAGAGGTGCTTCTTCCACCAGAGAAGTTGTGGACCAGGTCGCAGGTCTCACGCTGCTCAACACCCCCAAACCTGGGAAAACACAACAAGTTAATAAAATCCCACGGTAATTCAAAGCTGTTCAGCTAGAACATAAACCCGAGCTGACCGAATTATTAGGGTGGGATTTGCCACTCTTTTTATGAGGTTTTAGAAATCTGTCTGCCCTAGAGAGATTGCAGTTTGGCTAAAAACCATGCAGAAACGGGGCAGAGGAGATCAGAAAAATGATCCTTGGGATGGGGCTGTGGTCCCTGGTGCACCAGGAGCGTTTAATCCTCCAGCCCAGGGTAGAGAGGGATGGAGGAGGATGCAGTGCTAGCCCTAAAAATTCAGAAAAGCTGCACAGGGATTTGCAATTCCCTGTTCCTCACCCCAAAACTGGCGGGGGGTGGGGGGGTGTGACCAATGGGGTTACAGCAGCAGCTCAAGGCAAAGCTGTGTCACACGGCGCACGATTAAATCACATCCACGGGACAGCAGAGGGGCTGCGAATCCCTCCGAGCTGGGATTAGAGGAACCTGGGGACAGTGAGCCTGCCAGAGCTGGTGTGATGGGCTGGGGGGGAGCTGCACCCAGGTGGGGTCCCAGGGAAATGGGGGTATTTTTAAAAGCTTTTCTTGAAAAGCAGCTCAAATCTTTTCCTCGCACACCGGGGAAAAACCCTGCCTCAGGTTTCAGCAACTCCATATTTTGCCAAATTAGGGCCCCCCTGCCCCACCAGCACTGCGAATGAGCAGCTGCATGGGGAATTTGGGGCTGAACCCTCTCCTCACCCTCTCCTCAACTAATTTTTTTGGAGGGTGGAGGAATGGTTTTACCAATTTTCCTGCCCGTCACAAATCGTAGCACAACCCAACTCCCACTAGCAGCTTGGAGCCCCGCTTCGCCTCGGGTAGTCTTCCTCAAACCGCCAAGAAAAAACACTTCTTGACCTGGATCAGGAGAAAAAAAAAAAACATTTTGGGGCAGTTCGCCTGCTCTCCAGCAAGGCAACCTGTCACTCTTCTTGCAGAGGTTTTTTTGCAGTTTTAAGTCTCCTCCTCTGCAAAATGGGGCATCTTTTCCCTCTTCCTGACTTTGCAGGTCTGAAAAAACCTTGAGTTTCCCATCAGATGGGATTTTCCAGGCCCCAGGGCTGCGAGGGACCCATGTGCCACCCCTGAGGGGCTTCAATTTACAAACCCTCAAGGGCTTTTGCTGGGATGGGTGGGATGCAACTCCTGCGGGCTGCTGGTGTCCAGGGAAAGGATGGGGTGGGCAGCTGGAAACACACTTATCCCACCAGCATCGATAAGCAGAGCTTGGGAATCAAAGCTTTTTGGTGAAACACCCAGAAAACAGGGACTAAGTCTTATTCCCACTGGGGTTTAGGATTGGTGGCCAGTACAAAAGGCTTCCTTCGCAGCATGCCCTGCAGCTTGCACACAGCACCCTGTTCAAAATCCTATCGTTCCCTTTCAGGCTGGCTGGAAAACCAGAGAGCACAAAGAGCCACAGGGGTGTTCCAGGGATGTGAGCAGAGGCGAGGAGCCCAGGGTTGTGCTTGGAGAGGACCAGCCCTCACCATCAATATTTTCCTATGGCCTCAAAGCGCCAGTGATTACAGCCGCAGCTTCCCAGCCTACACTGGGGATGTTTGTTTGGGTTTTTTTTAAACATTATTATTAAAGAAAAAAAAAAAAAAAGACAAAAGAGTTCTGTGGGTTGGCCAAGAACAGAACAAAAGGAAACTGGTGGGAGCAACAAAGCACCTCCAGGGCTTGGCGTTTCTCCTCGATATTCCCTGGGGGGGAGCAGCCTCATCCCCCAGGCTCCGGCCAAGCTCTCACTGTGGGGATGGATCCTACGTGACCTTAAAAGCCTCACCCAAACCCCCACTTTTTCCCATTCTATATACAAGCCAGGAGATATAGTGATGAGCAAAAGCAGACTGCTCAGAGCATGACAGCATGGATGTACCCGTCCTCCTGCCTGTGCCTCCACTGCGGTACCTGCCCAAGGTGTATCTGCTGCTGCCTAACCTGGAGGAGATGCCTTAAAAATCAAACCCAGGACCAAGCCAGCTGATGCGCTGCCGTGAGGGTTTTCCTTTTGCTTTTCTTCCTGTTGCAGTTCCCATCCTTTCCTTTCAGGGCCAGCAAAAGCCTTTGGCTGTGCTGAAATTCTCCGTGCCTTATAAGAGCTAAGCTACTGCACAGTTTAAAAGAAAAAGAAAAAAAGGGGAATATATGTCCTGAACACCCTCCATCTCAGCCTCAGATTTCCCCCTGGAAAGCAATCCCAGATTTCCATGAACTCCCAGGCAATTTTGCAGCTATTTATAATGGCAATAAAAAGAGCAGCAGGACTCGTGTTGAAAGCATGGGCATATAAATAGGAACAGCACTTGGAACCGAGCGCCTGGGGCCATTGCCTCTTCCCAACGTGTCCGCCCGGACGCGAGGAGGTGGTCGCATCCAGCCGTGGCTTTAAGCGCGGGCTCAGGTGGAGCCGCGGTTGTGCAGGGGCTGGGGGACAGCCCGGAGCATCCCGCAGGTATTCGGCTCCCCCAAACCACCCGCGGGTGCATCACAGCGCCCGTTCGGAGCAGCTGGAGAGTCGCCGGCTCCGGCTGCCGACACCGGTCGGTGCCGAGGGGATGGAAACGGCCCCCGTATGCCCCCCTGACCCCCCGTCACCCCAGGCAAAGCCTGATGTTTAGGGGACACCCAGGGTGGCAGGGAATGAGCCCGCGTGCCCAACACACTCACGGCACAAAACTCACCTAAAATTGCTAATCTGGGAGAGAGAAGCCTGCCGTGCCAAGGAAAATCACCCTTATCTGGCACTTGCCCTCCTGCACCCCCAGACCCAGCACCCAGAAGCCCCCAGGACAAGCATATTAAGCCCAGGAAACATTGCAACACCCAGACAATCTCAATTTTTCTTCTCCGAGCTTAAATCAAAGCAATTAATTGGAGGAGAGGTTGTGATTTTTATGGGTGTCTTAAAGCAGCAGCTGCTTGGAAGATGCCGTTAGCAGCTCCACTCTCCCTGTCACCCCCAAGAAGGGTCTGGGGCTGCACCAAGGCCAGATCCACACACTGCTCCTCCAGGTAAAGCCTTCAAAAAGGCCAAAACCATCTATTTTTTTAATTAAAATAATTAAAAAAAAAAAAAAAAAAAAAAAAAAGAAGCACAAGACTGATGATAACAACCGAAGATGCAAAGAGAAAACAGCTCTACCCCATCTGATCGGGTTATTCTGTGCCCCCTGCCAAGAGGTGATCACACCTGCTGCTGAAATCAGCCTTCCCATCCCCACCTAAGTGTGGTTTTACCTTTCCAAATGAGGCCTTGGCTGCTGGAGTTGACTCCCAGCCCCATTGCTGGCTTAATTCTTGAGGAAGCTCCCCAAGACCGCATGGGGTGTGCAGCAGAGGAGCGGGTACCATAAGGACTCGAGCATCAGTGCAAAGAGCTCCTGCCCCATCTCACTCAGGAGGACACAGAGTGCAACGTAGGGGGGAAGAAAAGTTATATGTACTGACCTCAGCCCAAATGATACACCTCCCCTTGTTTCTTCAGTGGAGGCGTTTGCCGACGGGATTAAGGGGAGAAATAGGGAGGCTCGGCATGCCAGGGAGCTGCTGGCGGTGACGGCTCAGCGAGGGAGCGTTTGAGAAGGACATTTCTGTTTCATTTGCCTCTTCCAAGCTTCCCAGAAATCTGGTAAGCAGATTTGCAGCCTACACGCTCATCAAATTAAATGACTGCCCTGGAGATGCTTTTTGGATGACGAGACCAAAACTCTCCAACTTCTCTCCGTGGAGCTGAACCATCACACCCCAGACATTGGGCTTGAAGGACAAGTGGTCCCCAGGTGCATGACAACCTTCTGAACACCCACGTGTCCCCAGAGGGGTGGCATTTTCCATTTACTGGCCCAGAGGGTCAGTATGGGATACCCCAGCTCCATCAGCCTCTTTCCTGTGGGGGGTATGAAGCAGCCCTGAAGTCTGGTCCTCCCCAGGGCTGGGTGGTGGTTGTTTTTTTGGAGGTCTCTGAGGCAAACCAAACCAGAGCCCTCACTCCACATACTCTTGGCTTCCACCCCAAAAATCCCTTTAAGTGTTATTTTAGTGGCATTGTCCTTCTCAGCAAGCACCCTCCCCAGCCTTTTCCCACCAGTGATGGATGGGGCACCCCCAAGACTTTATACCTGAGAGGGGAAACTCCTTCAGGAGAACCACTAAAGGCTTTCAGTAATTAGCAGCCCTGATGAGCTCCCTCTGGCCTCTCTGAAAGCAGCTGAGCCTGATACTAATGAGGTTTCTTGCTAATTATAGCAGTCGAGCAAGGCCAAGCTGCCTCCTGGCCTCGGCAAGGGGGCTGCAGGCTGGAACGCGGGCAGCAACCGCACCGAGGTTTTGGCTGAAAACCTTTCTGAATTCCTTGTGCTAGAAAAAAGTGCTGGGGTCAACTGAGGACAGCGGTCCCCGCTGTGCCGAGCGCTCCTCTGTTCCCGGAGAACAGGAGTGCTGAAGGATGCTGTTCCCAGCGGCTGGCCGTGCTTCCTGCTCACAAGCTGGTGCTCTCTCATTCATCATTTTGAATAATTCCTGCCAAATAACGTGGGTTTCTGCCATGCCCGGCATTGCACCAGCCTGGAGCGCGAGCCAGGAAGGAAACACAGTCCCTTGAACAAGCCTTGGGGACACCAGGGACTTAAGTGACACACTCAAAGACACCCAAAGCCTCTGTGGTGCGGTGGAAGGCTCGAGCGTACATTCAGCATCCCAGTGGGTTTTTAATCCCTCTTGAGCTGGACTGTCAACACAACCCTGAGCTGCTGGTTTTGGGGCCAGCAAGCGAGGCTGAAGGCTGTGTCTTCGTAGCTCCCAGGCTCCCTTCTCCCTGTCCCGGAGCTGGCTCAGCACCCCCCCAAAAGTGGCTCTTTTCCAGCCAGCCCCGGGCAGCAAACACCCGCTCCGGCTGCCAGACCGCAAAACCCCAAACCCAACTCGCAGTGTTCAGCTTGCTTGGGAATGCCACAAAAACCCCCTAAAATTAAAACAAACAAAAAGCCTTCCATCCCTCACTTCCCCTTGGCCAGCTCCCCAAGGCTTTAAAGCCCCCAGGTCTGCTCTCGCCGTATGCAGAGCCATGTGTGAAGCAACAGCCCCCACCAGCATTTCCCACCACTGGCATTGAAGGTGTGAATTAGGATGCTGGAAAGGAGCAGTCCTAAATTGCTCTCTTGGCCCGGCCCCTCGATGGGGTTTGTTTTCACCCCATGGGAGGGATGTGGGTATACAAACGAAGATGGGATTTAATGAAACCCTTGGAGAGAAAGCCCTTGGCAGCCCCAGGAAACACCTCTGAGAGCTGTAAGAGGGGAAGGGGTGTCCATGCGGGTAGTGCAGCAGGGAGGGGAGCTGGGATAAGTGGTTTTCCCAGGCTATGGTGCTCTGGAGGAAGCCCCGCTGTCCACGCAGCCCGGGGCCCACGTCTCTGCCGGCCTCTTCCCCACTGCCGAGAGCCGGGGGGAGCCGGGAAGGCACATGGGGCTGGGGGGGAAGGGAGCTGCCTGGCTCTAATGTAAAGGGTGTGTTCCCCACCATGCAGCCCTTTGCTCCAGGCTCCCTGGAAGGGAAGCAGCGTGATAAAACGACCCCATCCCCACGCTCGCAGGCACGAGAGCGTCGCAGGCGGTGGCTAACGCGGCTTTTATTGTCACAGGACACAGTGGCAGATGATGCAACAGGTCGCTACAGGGCGGGGGTGGGGGGACACACACGGGAGTTTTACACCACAGGTCGTGTTACACCACAGGTCGTGTTACGCCATGGGCCTTCCAGCACGTTCACCTCAAGCAGCAACGCAGCGCGCTGCATCGGGCAGGCGGGAGGGAGAGGAACGATGCTGCAGGGAGAGGATCCCGCCAGCTGCGAGCCCGGCTCCTTTCCGCGCCTTTGCTGCCCCATCTCTGTGCAAAAAGACAAATACTCAGGCCACGGTGATTTCCCATTTGGGGATGGGGCAGTTAATAAGCAGACAAGGTGGGGGGTCCCTGCCAGGAGCATCATTTGCACCTCCCAGTATTGGCTCCGTTGCATCCATGCTTCAAACTGGCACACAGCGGTTTTGCTCACAAAGGCGTTAACGGGAGAAGCTGCCCCGGGAATAGCTGTTCCTCGGGGATGGAGGAGCGTGGGCTCAGGCGCAGGGCTCGGTGCGCATCAGGAACGCAGGCTGTCTGGTTTGCCTCCCCTGGGGGACGGGCCACCCCGGGAGGGATGGAGATGTGAAACGCGGGGCAGGCTCGGCGAAGGCAGAAAGCCCAGCAGAGCACCGAGCGTGCGGTGCCCTCAGCCTGAGACTGAGCAGCCTCATCTGCCGCCTTCGCTGCCCTTTGCCCAGGATCTCATTTACAGCATTAATAAAGGAGAGTGTGCCAAATATTAAAAAATTATTATTTTTTTTTTTTTTTTTTTAGAAAAGCCAGGCATTAACAGGCTTTTCCACCCCCCCCACTGTAAACAGATTTCCGTTTTGGTTTGAAACACACCCTCGGTGTCAGCCCATGAGCAGCCTGGGAGAGAGAAGGGCTGCAGCAGAGCGGGGGCACGCAGGGGTCTGCCCCTGTGCAACGGCTTCAGCTTACTAACCCAGAGGAAAACCGGGATGGAAACACGGCCACGGGCTCCGACAGATGGACGCTGGTGGCTGCAGATGGGCCCTTCGGGGAGGACCACAGCGGAGGCAAAGGGGAACACAGCCCCCCGCCACCCACCGACCCGCACGATGGGTGGGTCTGGGGGCACTGGGGGGTGGATGTGGACAGAGACACCCCCTCCCTGGACCCGTCAGCCCGGCTGGAAAAGTTTTGAGCAGCCAGTGGATTTTACCCACCAGCAACACTGAGGAGCAGAAGCAGCAGCCGGTTTCCCCAGGAGAGGGACGGCTGATGACAGCCCAGGAGCCAGCACAACCCTCGGGGTCACCCCAGCGCTTTGGCTGCACGCTTTGGGGCACAAACAGACCCAGCAAGCTTTCTTAGGGGAGCGGGAAAACCCACACAGATGTGTCCGTGCTGGGGCTGATCCCTGCCGAAACACTGCTGAGCCCCCAAGGGTTGTCCCAACACCGCTGAAGTCACCACGAACCACCTTCGCTACTGACTTCAGCTGTCCGGGAGGAGGAAGTGGGAGCGAAGGGGTAAGGCAGACAAAGAACACCTTCCCTGCTGACACAAAGCCCGTCTGCAAAAACCTACGGGCTTTAAAGGGCTGTTGTAGCCCAAGCCCACCCTCCCCACCGTGCAGCATTTCCTCTCGGGAGCCAGCACAGCCCCCCGAGCTGCCCCTGGGGCTGGAGCAGCGGGTGCCCCCGCAGCAGGATGACCTGTCCCTCAGTCCCGGCTCGGCCATCGCTCTCGCCTCGGGGCCGCTCACTCGGGGATGTAGTCCCTGAAGGAGTTAAAGCTGAGGCTCCGGCCCGCTGAGTTCAAGGTGGAGCTGGCTTGCATCTTAGGGATCTTCTCCATCAGCTTCGACACTGTCCTCCGCTTGAAGGAGCCTGGGGAGAAGTGCCCCTGTCTCATGAGCTCCTGGTAGAGGGTGTTGAACACCACCACGGTCTCTTCATAGCTGTCCCGGGTAGAGATCTCGTAGAAAGGAAGCTTCAAAGCTTTGGAGAGGTTTTCGCCATCCTCGGTGGACACCATCCTGTCGAACTGCAAGTCCTTCTTGTTGCCCACAATGACCACGGGCGGCTGCTCGCTCGCGCTGCTCCGCCTGGGGCTCGCGTGGATGTGGTTGATGAGGAAACACAGCCGCATCACCTCATCAAAGCTGCACCGATCTGTCACCGAGTAGACCACGGCGAAGCCATCGCCCCATTTGATCTTCTCCTCTATCTGCAGGGAATCCTCCTCCTGCCGGGGAAGACGAGTTCGTATCAACACCAAAAGCCCCAACATCTCCTAAATACCAACACCACCGGTTGCAACTTAGAAAACCTCCCAAGGGGGCCCGTCACCATCTCCCTGAAGGTTTTTGGCCCTGGGCTTACACACAGCAGCGACTTGCAGAACAACACAGGTAGCCCAGGGCAGGAGCTCGATGGGTTGGGCACAATGATGGATGGAGAGAGCAATCAGCCCCATGCCGATGCGGATGAGGGGAGCATCGGTGCTGCCACAGCGGGCGCGCACAGGCAGGGCTCTTGCTAGATGGGAAGCCAGCACAGGGCTCTCCATCGCATGCAGTCCCCGTGCTTGGTGGGTCCTTTGACCCAGCACCCTCCCACACCCTTGAGCTGTGTCCTGGCTGTCGGGATGCTCCACCGGCACAGGGAGCTGAGCTGTGCTGCTCACCAGTAAGGGCGATGGGGAAATATTTAGCTGAAGCCACACTGTAATTGATGTTAGAGAGACATAAGTTCCCCAAAACATCCCTTTTCTGAGATAAACACATCTTGATCGGTATTTCAGATACAACAGATTGAAGCTGGGGGAAGAGCAGGGATTGTCTTCAACGGCAAGTTGCGCTTCCCCGATGGTATTTTCCAGCTATGAGACAATGAGCTCACCTGTCCCGCCGTATCCAGGATCTCGAAGTGCACCATCTCCCCGTCGATGACAGCCATGTGTCTGTAAATCATTTCTGGAGGAGAACAGACAGAAAAGCGTGTGTGAGGGAAGCCCCCGGGTAGTAAATGACAACCCAGGCAGCCTCGAGGCAAGCCGTGCTGGAGAAGTCGATTTTCCCCTGCTCCAACCTACAGCCCGTGTGGCCTCTGCTCCGAGCCCGCATCTCGAACTGGTCCCTCAGCCCGTGCCCCACGCCTGGGAAGGGCAACCCAGTGCCCACGGCATCGAGGCATGGCCTGGCCGACTGCAGGATAAACCGGGCACTGTCCCCCTCCTCTGACACGGGGAAGCACCAGGTACTCTCACCGTGTGGTCTTGGTATTTTATCACATCATATGGCGCGAGCCCAGCAGGAGGAAGAAGCAGCAGGCAGAGAGGAAAAACAAATTGCACTCTGGGGACAAAAAGCATCGCTCACCGTACCAAGCGAGGAGTGGGGGTGTAACGCACAGATGGGGCAATGGTGGGGTTGTTTTTCAAACCAAGCTTTTCCCTCGAGTCTCCTGTGAACCAGCTGGGTTAGAGCAACACAGACACTTCCCAAATCTCCCAGCCTGGCGGGTGACAGCCCGAGTTCGGCAGAAGGATGCACAGCCAGTGACCGGTCATTTCTGGGAGACTTCAGCAGTGATGTGAGTTCAGGGCCCAAAAAAACTCAAGCACAGATGCAAAAAAACTCCAGACCCTAGAATACAGGAAAGCACTAGCTCCAGTGGCTTAGGTACCTCCTTCCCCTTCCAAGGCACCTCCTGGCAAACTGCTCGAGGACGCCTCAGCACGCTGTGCTTCCCTGTGCGATGCCGATGGCTCGCCCCGACAGATTTTTTGTCTTAATAAAACAACAGAAAAGGAAAAAGGGATGCAAGAGCCTGGGAGGTGCCACGATGGCTGGTGGCTCTGACCACTGCCGGTCTGGTCGTGGAGGAAGAGGAGCAAATACGGTGAGTTTGGGAACAGTCAGCTCTGCTGGGTGCGGCACTGAGCACACCAGAGTCTCCAGGCTGAGCCAGTGGCAGCAGCAAAAATGACGAGAAAGAGGACTTTACCTACCTAGAGTTGGGTCGTAGTCTCCAATGAATCTTCTGGTGATAAATCTTACAGTCAATGCTGAAAAAAAAACCCACAACAAACACAGTTATGGTTGTCAGATCAAACTGCTGAGAGATGTCGGTTGAGGCAGGAGGGATGGAGCAAAGACCTGCCCCAGCCCCACGGGAAAGTGCACGGGGACCGGGTTACTGCAGGGTTGGGAAAAACATCTTCAAAGGCGCCCGAACGGGCTGGGCCACTGCGGCATGCTGGCCGGGGCTGCCCTGGGAGACCAGAGACAACTACAATGAAGCAGCAAATTGCCAGATCTTGGTGGCAAAAGGTGAGGGTGAAGCAGTCTGGGGGAGGATTGCGGTTGCCCAGGCGGATGCCTTGGACCAGGAGTGTTACAGGGCCTCTTTTACCCCGCAAAGTCCTCAGATGACAGCACAGCCCTGTGCAGGCTGTCCTCTGCCTTGCTTTACCCCATGTAGAACGTGGGAACAGTGCGTCAGGACAGGCAGGAGCCCACCCAGGCTGACAGCTCGCACCTCGCTGCTCCAACGCAGCCTGAAGCATTTCCAGAGCTTACAGGCATTGGGCATGTCAGAATAACCCCTTCACAGCCCCAGGAAAAGGCTAGATGGTTTTTGCATGTTCTTTGCAAATGTTTGGATCAAGGACCAAAACCCACTGGGTGACAGGATGCCCCAGGCAGGGGAAGGGGTCTCTGCCCGCTCCACTAGCGACACACCAGGCACCTCCGCCCGCAGCTGCCTGCTCGTCGTCAGTGGCAAAAACACCCATCGTGTTGATGAAATGCAGCTCAACAACAACGGAAAGCGCCGATGGCTCCTCGAGACCGGCTCACAGAGTGCGGCTTGAGCGATGGCAGCAGGCAGGGTGCAGGCAGGGTGCAGGCAGGGTGCAGGCAGTGCTGCACCCCACCAACGCACCCCGACGTGCAGGCGAAGGGCGGCTCCTCGCACGTGGAATTCACTCTCCTGCACGGTCGGGGTTGATAAATTGCATTTACTGGCCTTGATCCTGGCAAAGATTTATGCACGCCTTGAAGTTTTACGCCAGGGGAGCCGTGCCCTCGGTGGCCTCCAGCCAACCTCTTCCCAACAGCGAGCTCGGCGCAGGGGCAAGTTGGTGCCGGGCCAGGCTCCCCCTCTATGTCACCAGCGCTGAGGGTGTAACTGCCTGGATGGGTCTCACGAATTTCATCCGTGTTTGCTTAACCTGACCCAGGCGCGCCGTGCGGCGAGAGGAAGGCCATTGGCACCGAATCTCATGAAATTCATCAAAAGGCCAAAGCCAGAGGAGCACAGGGCCCGGCAGACCAGGAGGTCCCGACACCAGCCCCACGCTGCAGCAGCACCAGCCCTGGAAAGGCACCCGGGGTGGGGGGCAAGAGCCAAGAGGATGCCCCACAGAGCAGCCCCCCGGGGTGACACGTCACCTTCCTGCCATGCCTGCGCCTGGGAATTCGTGTCCCCAGCCCAGGGATGCTGGGCATGAGACGGGACCGCTGACTCTGTTTCATCCTTGCAAGGAGTCCTGCTCCCCGGCAGCTCTCTGGCGTGCGGGGGGACAAAGCAACCCCCCGCCACAAAAGCACCCCTGCCCCTTCTATCTGCTGGCACAGCATCAGCACGGAGATGGAATCATTTGGCCCGATTTTCCTCCTTGCAAGGGCCAGGAAAGGCAGGAACAGCCGCAGCATGGCAGCGTGGGCAATTAAACCCCTCTTATCCAATTACCACATCTCCCTGCACCAGAGACCAGGAGATGCGAAGCCCAAATTATGCTCTAATGCTGGGCTGGGTGGAGGTCTGCTGATGCTGGAGGCTTGCCTGACAGCTCCATCAAACATGGCACGGGCCTTCTCCTCGCTGGGGAAAAGTACTGCCTCTCATCATCTCTCCAGCCAGGCAGGCTGAAGGAGACAGACCTCAGCTCCAGAGCACGGGCTTGTTTGGGGTGGGCAAGCTTCCTGGGGACTACAAAAAAAATAATCAAAGAGGCTCCTTATATTTTTCCATAAGGGGTTTGTCATTGTGCAAGGTCCCTAGGTGGGTATTTCCAGCAATGGGGATGGCAGACAGGGCTGAGGCTCAGCTGGCAAATGTCCAGGAACAGGAACTGGGGGGAAATATAAAAGACTTTCTAAGTAACGAAGCAATTTGGAGGTGCTGAAAATCCTGCTGGTCTGAACGGGGCGGGGAGGCAGCCAAAGCATACCCGTCACTCCTGCTAACAGAGCATCGAGTTTTGCTACGTGTTCCTGATGTGGCCCGAGGGCCACAAAACCGCATCTGTCCCTGCCCTGGCAGGTGCTGGGTTTTATCACACTCTCCTGCTCCAGAGCCGGCACCCGGGGAAGCCACCGTGTCAGCATCACTGCGGGACCCACGCCGGCACCCTGGGTGACACGAGAAGGTGGCAAGAGGGGACTGGTGCTCGTGAAAGCGGGCAGAAGCAGGTGAGATGACCCTACCAAGGCAGCTTCATTTCAGGAAGAGCGTGGTGAGGCTAGCAGCATCCCAAGGGCGGATGCGGGCACACGGCGCTGAAGAGCTGGCTGGGGGGTGTGGTTTTGCTTTGAAGCAAAGCTGACATACTTTTTACTTGACTTTTCACACCTGCAGCCTCAAGCATCCCATAAAAACGCCCTGGGGAAGCTGTGAGGAGGCCATGGTGCTCGGGGTGAAGCAGAGATGCTGAAGAGGTGAGGAGGAACGGGTGGAGCTTGGCTGCCATCAGTTTACCAGCAGTGGAGAACTCGCCTCCAAGGCTGTGCCAGGGGCTTACGGCAAGAGAAGTCCTTTGCCCGGTGAGGGAAACCCACAGCTTGGAGCCTGCAACGGCAGAGAGCGAGCAGCCACAGCTGGGCTTTCACAGGGAAGGAGGAACGAGAGTGAGCGGCTCTCCACGACATACAGAGCCCACGGCAGCTCGTCCAGGGTGGGATAATTACCGGGTGATGGTGAATTGGCAGAGACCGGCGGCTGCGCAGAGGAGGCGGGTGGGGATGTGTCTGCGGTTTGCAGCTCGGCTCAGACCGAGGAGAAACTCCGCAGCTCTGGCTGCTGGGGGGTAATTTGGGATCAGCCCCGTAACGGCAGCACTGCAGGAACACGGCTCAGGGGTTGTGGAGCTGGAAAAGCAACAGAGCAATTGCAACGGGAAGTTCAAACGTGACACGTCCTCTGCTCAGAAAACATCAGCAGAGGTGGTGCAGGATTGGGTCCCGCCCCGGTGAAACTCCCTGGCACTGGAGGAGCTTTCACATCAGCAGAAGTGACCAGTCTTGAAAAGAGATCACTGCAGGTGACCAACTGCATCTCCTGAGATCCCTTCTGCTGGAGAAAGACCCCCTGGCCAAGCCCAAAGGCTGATTTTTCTATTTGTCTTTATCTCCATCCCTGCCCTCCGGAATACCTTTCTGCAAGGAATTGCCTTTAGGATGCGACAGAGTGGATTTGGAAAGCACCAGTGTCTCTGAAAGCAGCTCTCCATCCTTGCAGAGCAAGCGAGCTTTCCTCTGGCTCTCAGATCTCTCCTACAGAGCAAAAAGGGGAGTTGTGTTTTGGGGATAAAAGTTGGCAGCAGCGTAAACACCTTTTTCAGATATTGTTTCAAAAACATCTTGCTCTTTGCCTTTGGAAAGAGTGAGGCAACACAACTAATCTTCACACTTGGTCCTCAGCGTCTAAGCTCATTCAAACACAGTTCCAGGCTGCCTCGGTTCTCGGGAGCCGATCCACACGCCTGATGCTGCAGATCTGCTGGTTCAATGCAAAACCCTCCTCACAGCATTTTATACATAACATCTTTCCAAATCAGCTGTCTTGAAAATGCACCATCGATGCCTAGGTGTGATCTTCTGGCGAAGACAGAGAAACCCTCAGTTCAGAGGCTGAGGGGAGCAGGGCTAATGGAAGTGTTGCTTAAGCTCTTCAAGGTGTTAATGACAGTAATGGGTACAGACAGGCCGTGTGGGGATGGGAGTGAGAGGCAGCAGAGAGGCTGAGAGCTGGCTTAGAAAGGCAATGGGAACAGAAAGTGAAATCGGTGGAAAATGAGTGGGAATGGGGAAAAAAAAAAAAAAACAAACAGCAAGATGGTGGGAGTACAGAGCCCAGGAGGGACAGGATGAAGCAGCTGTGCACCAGGCATCAGCACCACAGGAGGAAGGAAACAGAGCAGGAGCACGAAGGGAGAATAAACCTCACCAAAACCAGGGTGCAGTGTTAAACCCCCTCAAAACCAGGAGATGCTGGTGAAAAGCTAACACCAGGCAGGACCGATGCACTCCTGCCCTGAGCCTGCTTTCCCCGTGCAAATTCGGGGGCAGTGTGTCCCAGCTGGCTGCCAGCAAATGTTCCCCATGGCTTGGCCCTGCACAGCCACACCGCACTGGTCAGGATTGATGCATCCCACCTGAGCTGGGCTTTCTGCTTCGACAGCCCCAGCATCTCTGCCCCAAGCAGCTTCTCCTTCCCCCACCCAGCCCCCATTTGGGGGATAACACCATCCTCACACCTTCTAAGCCACCTCTGGGTCCCAAACCCTGCCCGTCAGAGGAGAGATTGGATGGAATGAGCATGTAATTTAGCAAAACTGCTCTGCGGGGATAACCACGGATCCCCTAGGAGGCATGTAGCAGCGTCTTCAAAGGGGCGACCAAATTATCAGGGGGAGAGTGAGACAAGTCAGGCTCGATTTCTAGAAAGCACCTGATTCTGTGTCATATGTTAGGCAGCCACCCAAAGCCGGGGCGCATGGTGTTGTATGAGAAGAGGAGCCAATTAAATTGATTAAGAATTGGCTGAGTGCAAGAACACGGGGAAGCTGCCAATCAGAAGAAGCGGATGTGGGCAGAAAGGCGTCAGCACATCCACACAGCCTTATAAGGATCTTTGTTTTCCCCATCTTGAACATCAGTAATCTCAGAAGGGGCTCTCCAGGAGAGCCCCACAGCTGACAGGGTTAATTTTATATCCAGTTTGGACTCTAGGAATACCTGCAGGATGGCTCGAGGCGTGATTACCCTGCCACTGTGGGGACGGGCTGGGTACCTCCAGGATCGCATCGAGCCCCATGTGCTGCTCTATGCTGCTGCATAACCCATCTCTCCACGACCGTAACGGCTTGCAGCAGCGATTCATCTTTGGGGCGTGTTCTGCACGCAGAGCTTTCCGTTGAACTATTGCAAAGTTTACACTGGCTAGCATCAACAGCAGAAGCCAGAGGATAATGCGAGCTCTGGCTGGGCTGGGTTACAGCCTCCCGCAGGTGATTTACACAGCCCAGGCCAAATCTTTAAATTACTGATGATATCAGCCATGGGTCTGCACCCAAACCCATCTGTGTTCAGAGGATCCAGGACCTCAGATCACCAGATCTTGAAGATTTCCAAACTGCTCCAAAAAAAATCAAATTATTTTGCTGAGAATGGTGGGGGTTTCCCCCCTTTTGCAGCTGTCTAGATTTTAATTGCCCTTTTAATTGTTCACACCATCGGACCCCTCAGCTCTCCCAACCTGGCTTCTAATTCCCAAGGGAGCAGATGCTAACAGCTCGCCCGGGCGATGCTCCGGCGTGGGGTCTGCTTGCACCCCGCCAGGACGGGGAGCTTGGCGCTCAGGGATGGATTCGGATGAAACTCACCTTCACCTTCCCCTGCTTCCCCTCCCCAAAATGGGGGATCCCCACACATCACACCCCTTCCTCTCCCAGCCAGCCCCGTTTCTCCCCTGCCATGGGCACCAGCCGCCCCTGCAGCCCGTCCTCCCCAGCACCAATCTTGATGCTTTTGGCTCCTTCCTCGTGTTCCACAGGCGGGTCCCTCAGGCCGGATGCTCCCGCTCCATTAATCAGGGTGTTATCGGCCCCGCCGGGCAGGGGAAAGCCCTAGGAGGTTTCCTCACCCCCAGCTCCATTTGGCACAGGGGCTCACTGGCAGCAGGGCCCTGCAGCTCGGGCACAGCACCCAGTGAAGACGTCATGCTGACCCTTTGCAGGAGAGGACGTGCAGCCCAGCACCCAAGGGGACAGAGATCGTGTGCCTGATGTTCCCAGGGGCTGCTCCTGGTTCTTGGCAAGCTCCAGCTCTCCTCTGCATGAGCCACGTATTGATTACCTCCCCCCCAACCTGGTTTCACAGCCCGTGTTACCGTCACAGCCCAAGAGGACGGCAAAAAACGCGCCGCTGAAGGGCACGGGGGCTGCAGGCACCCATGGGGCTGAGCAAGGCGAACCCCACAGCTCAGCCCTGCACGAGGAGGGTGCCGGGGCCAGATCCACATGGAGGGACCTTTAAAGATCCTCGGCATGATCCGACCCTACGGAGGAGGCACGGCGGCCTCGCGCTTACCCACAGGAGGGGCCCAAAGCTCCCAGGCGCCCACCCCGCGCTGGGTGGGATTAATGCCGGCGGGGGGAAGCGCGTATGTTCAGGCCCTGGGGTGTGGGGGGGCGAGCCAACGCGCTTCGTACTCTTTGTACAACCATCCCTCGCAGCTCCATCTGCTCGCAGGGACTCTGAGGCCAAACACCACGCACAGACACCCCCCCCCCCAGGGCTCTGGGTACTCCCGGAGCTGAGCCCCGTTCCCCGCTGCTAATCAAGAGCTGGGAGTTGCCTCTTTTAATTTAATCAGGGAAATCATGATTTTTCACTAACGCCGGGCAAGAGGCTCGCCGGTGACTGTATATGGAAACCCAACTTCAGCGGCACCAGCAGCCAAAGCTGCTGGCTGCGAGCCAGGTGGAGGTGCCACCGCTGCAGCGTATTTTAAGGTTATGTCTTTTCCAGAGCAGCAGGACATTGCCCTGTCCCCAAGGACACGACAGCCCCGGCCATGTCCCCCCCGGCTCTGTGTGGATCGCTGCTCCCCTGCCCCACGGCAATAAAATCAACACGGACACACGCACCTTTCCTTGCCAGCCACCGGCACCTCTCGGCCCCGCTCCTGGCACACTGGGTGCTGCGCAGAAAGGGAGCAGGGGCCACCTTCACCCCCGGGTGCTCACAGTCCAGGCTGGAGGAGTGGGAAGGGGTGGAAGGATGATCCCCAGGTGGAGAGAGCTCAGGTGGTCCCAGCTCAGCATCCCAAATCCCCACCCCGGCGGCCGCAGATGGAGAGCACCGAGCAAAGTGCAGGGAAAGGGAGTTTTCCTAAAGGAAAACTAAACACAACGCTGTAACACGAGGCTCTGCAAACCCCTCTGCTAAAAAACAGGCATCAAACTCGAAGTACCAGGTAAAGCACAAACCCGAGCTTGGTTTTTGGCCCCAAAAGCTCCCACAGTCAGCACCGTCCCACCCTGACCCCCTGCCCGCAGCTGGGGGCCGCTTCGGCACGGAAAACCCCCTCGGAACGAGCCCCCGGGTGCAAAGCACCCACGGATGAAACTCGAGAGGAGGGAAACTCGGTGTCCTTAAACATAACGGCCCCGGGGGTCCCCCTGGGGCGATGCCACAGCCACCCTGAAAAAACTCTTTCCCTGTCCTGGCTTTCTGAAACAGACCCCACTCCGGTGGGAGCCCTGGGGGGCTCAGCCCCTCTTCCCGGGGGTGCAGGGAGGGATGCGGGGGGGATGCTGGGGGGCCCCGTCCTACCTGTCTTGCCCACGGCGCTCTGCCCCAGCACGACGAGGCGCAGGGTCCGGCCCGGGCTGAGGCTCACGGAGCGGCGGAGCGGCCGCGGGAAGCTCATCCCGGGGCCGGGGCTCCGCGCGGTTCCGCGGGGCTGCGCCGCGCTCCGCACCCGCAGCTCCGCCCCGAGGGCCGGGCCGGGCTCAGCCCCCGGGCTCGGTGCAGGCGGTCCCCAAGTGATGCCCACCTCCTCCTCCTCCTCCTCCTCTTCTTCCTCCTCCTCCTCCTCCTCCCCTCCCCCGCGGGGGTGGTGCCCCCGGGCAGCGGGGTCAGGCGGCCGGTGCCTCGTCCCGGAGGAGCCGGGCGCTTCGGGCATCGCGCCTCAGTTTCCCCGCACGCAAACAGCGCTGCGTGGGTCTCGCTTGGCCCCTTCGCCGGACGAGGGGCAGTGCCGGCCTGGAGAGCTGCTCGCCTAAAAGGGAGCAAAGTGAGGGAAGAGCAGAGAAGCGTTGCAGCACCTCCGCAGATGGGGAAACACGGCCGGGGCGCTGCCTCCCCTCCAGATCCCTGCATGAAATCACAATTTCACCTTCAGCCCCTTCTGGGTGCAAGACACGTTAATAAAGACCAGACACGTTGGCTTAGCCCCCCTGCTTTCCCCTCGTCCCATCTTTCAGGTGCAGCATGCTCCTCACCCAAGGCAGCTGAGCCCACCCAGCACCCAGCCCTCGCTTCAACCGTGAGCAAATCCTGACTCCACACACATCGGTGACTAAATCCCCACCGATATCAAAGAGCTAAAGACTTCACATCAGGCCTGGAACCAAACTTTGCATGTGCTTTGGTGCAGCAGCATTGCAAGGCTGTTAAATAACAGCGTGAGGGGGGGGTGCCCGAGAGCGGGGGGCTACCTGCGCGTGTGTACGTACAAGCGTGGGCGCAGGTAACACGGGACTGCTCCGAGCAGCAGCCCGTGCGGGCACGGCTGGGCACTGTGGGTGCACGGAGAGCTGGGAAGAAGGGAAAAGACCTGCAACATTTCCAGCAAACTCCAGGATGCAGCGTGCCAGTGCGGCGCAGGGATGAGCCCAGCACCGTGATCCCTAGCAGAAGAGGCCTGAGCAGGGCTGGCAAGTGCTTGCACGAGGCGTTCGGTCTCTCCTCTGAAGGCTTTAGGCATTTCTCTGGCCCGGGGATCGCTTTGCCTGACCCTCCCGGGTGACTTTGCTCTCAGCAGAGCACAGACCATCCGCGCCGCCTTGGACGGTGCTCAAGGTAACACAAAACCCACCCGATATTTATAGACCGTATCGCGTGTCAAAAATAAACATTGCTGCTGCCTACAGACGGCCTCACAACCAGCACCCAGGTGGGTGGCTCGCCTTGAATGGGGAGAAGGGTTTGCAAAAGTATTGCTGCTGCCAGTGGAGAGCCAGGGCTCTGAACGGTGCCCTGGATCACACAGGGACTATCCCGGGGAGCCCAGATTTCCCCCAGAAATTCTCCTTGCCTCCCCCCCCCGCCTTCCTGTGCATCGGCCACTCGCGACAACCATGTTCCTGCGCTGCTTCGCCAGAGCTGACGAGAGGCACGTTCCTGGCCTGACTGCATCTGGAGCCCAGAAGACAACAGCAAGAGCAATAAACCTCAGATTTCAGGACAAAACCCGATTCCCAGCTGGGGAAGGGAGGGGGGTGTCAAGAAAAAGAAGCCTCCTTTATGTTCCTTTCCTATTTTTAGCCCGATTTCCTAAGGAAATGAGATGTCTGCAATCAAGTCGTCTGTCTTGCCTGTCCCTCGTCAATACTGTTTGAATATGCTGCCCAATTTCAGCCAAATCTGACAGTGAGGGAGAAGCCACAGAGAAAATGCTTTTTTCTGTAAGTTTTGTGACAAAAAAATGGTCACATTTCATGGAAAATCAACCCTTGCACTTTGGAGGTCAGGAGCCGGCTGGTAGGTTCCTGGCTGGAGGAATCCAGAATAACTATTTCCCTGCTCCAGGGGCTGCTCAGACCCCTCTTGGGCCAGAGCCCCTCACAGCGAGAGCGTGCTGCCCGTGGCTCTTGGTAAAGCACTGCAGCCTCGTTACGCTGTGCTGGGAGCCGAGCAGTCCAGCCCTGTACATCTCTACCTGCTTTAATTCTGATTGCATTAGAAGGGATTTTTAATTTGGGATTTTGATTGCATTAGAATGGATTTGCAGGGATGCAGGAACAAGCACACAGCAGGGATAGACTTAAAACTGAAGCACAGCACCAGCACAGCTGCATTCGTGTGCCAGCCCGGCCACAGACTTCCAGTATCACCTCAGGAAAACCACTTCACCTCCGCTGTTCTGCAAAACTGAACCATCGCCTCCACGGCCACGGCACGGCCCGTCAGCTCCCACACCCATCTCCATCGGGAGGGACAGGGGTGCATGTGCCTCTCAGTCCCCAGTTGTTTCTAGTTGTACATATTCAGAACATTAAAAACCCCAAACCCCCAAGTGTCCCCTTGCAGAGCTGTTCCACAGAGAGATCTCAGCAATGGCAGAGAAAATGATGCTGCCTTGTCTTTGTCTTCCAGTGCCGAGGAAAAAGACAGAACTACCCTCAGGGAAAATTGATGTGGCCCTGTTATGATGTCAAGCAAGTGATGAGATTCCAGGTTGGACTTTGGGACTCTTTCAACAGGCCTCTTAGACCAGTCTCAGTGAGCGAGCGTCCTCCTTTGCCCATCCAGGTCTCCTCTTTGGATACTTTTGATCAGTCACGGCACAGTTAAGCATTTCATAGACTTTATACAGCCCAACAAGGTTTCATGGAAGTGAACTGAAGGGAGGGAAGGCTCAGGTGGTCTCAGAAGGCTCAGGTGGTTTCAGAAGGTTCCGGTGGTCTCAGCACGGAGAAGGCATCTTTCAGCTCTGGGGTGACCTCACGCAAAGCCCATCAAGCTCAAGAAACAGAACCCTAGGCAACAACTGATCTTCTGTCCTTTGACCCTCACTGACCTGCTCCTCTAAACCTCTCCAGGCTCTTGCTGGAGAACACAAGGGTGTACCTCGACCCTGCACATCCAGGGGCAGCTCTTGCCAACCCAGCTCTGCGATGTCCAAGCGTTTCTGAAGCACAGAGTGCTGTTCTTGCAGCAGGGCCACAGAGGAGGCGTGGTATTTCCATGAAGATGATCTCCTATGCTTCTTTAACCTTCAGGATAGAATACAAACATTCAGCTGAGTCCACCCAAACCTCTTTTTGGTGGCAAGTGTTTAAACCCAGCCAAGCACAGAGCGATGATACACTCAGGCCTCAGAAGAGCTTTGAAGAAGAAACATCTCTGGCCAGCTTGCATCCACCTTCCTTCTGTCCCTCCAAAACAGTTTCACTTATCTCAAAACCAGAGACAGTAGGCTGACCTAGACAAGAACTTGTGTAAATCTGTTTCTTTTTCATCCTTGATTTAAGTCAAAAAAACCTAAGAGTGCTGCAATTCACAGCTTCGTGCTCACCTCCAGCCCGGTGAAGCGCTGGCCGTGGGGATCACTAGAGAACTCGTACAGCTGCAGACCCTCCTGCTGAGAGGAGGAGCTGAAACCTCGGAGAGGAAACACCCTTCAAAGCCATCTCCCATGGCCAGGCTGGACCGGACCACTGTGACCCTCCAGTCCAACACCAACTGCTTCAGAGATGACGCAGAAAAATATATCCTTGGCTTCTTCAGAGAAAGGTTGGCTTGGGCCCCAGAGCTGGTGGGTTTTACATCCCTGACAGCACATCTGGGGACTACCCGGAGGAACTCCTACTCACCTCACGCACAGATCTCCTTGGCATGGTGGGAAGCCACATGTGTCTTCCCCCACGTGCATTCAGCACCGGTGCCTACGCGGTCCCACGCTTGCTGGGGACCTTTCAGCTGGTCGACAATGGAAACACGACTTTATCATCTGCAATCGCTGAATAAGCCACCTCCAGCATAACAAAGCACCTGCGGCAGAGCCAGGCGAGGGTAGGTGGTAGGTGGAGTAGATATTGTTTTCTGTTGAAATATTTGTGGTCAGGCTATTCCATACTTGCCGTTTTTTAAAGATGTGGAGTCTGCACCGGGAAAGAGGCCAAAGGCACCCATGAATCATGTCCCCAGAAACAAAAATTCAGCAGAAATAAGAGGTTGTCCTAAAGCAGACGAAGAACCAAATCACCTCAGCTGTAGCCTCGGATCATGGGAGTCCCATACGGTGGTGTGAACTAAAGCCCTGCCGGATCATCTGCTATTTTGCAACCTCCCAAAAAATTGAGCTCTGCTGCTTCTGAAAGAAAGAGAAGTGGTAAGTTTGTTTTTGTTTAGAAAAGGAAGATAAAAGAAAAGCCGGTCCCTTTTCTCTCCATTAGATGATCTGAGGGTGCAGGATGCTAGAAGATCCGTGCAGAAACCAACTCAGTTTCAAGCCAACTTTGGGGCCCGCACCCCATTTTCAAAAATGACCAAGGTACTTCAAACCTTTGGTCCCACAAAGTTTATCTTGTCTCCTGAGCATCCCCTGGAAGGTCTCAAACCCCATGTTTCCAACACGCCTATCACATTTAATTGCCACTTATTAATGACTGCCCAAACATTGTTCCTGTTGAGACAATACCGGCTGTGGCAAGCTTCGCTGCTAGCACGCCTCTTGAGAGTTAATGTTGGACAGGGCCGTCAGGGAATGCTCTCCAAGAATATAACTGAAGCCACGCCGCCCTGTCAATAAACATATTTTTGGTTGCTATAGCAAAGCCAGCATGCAATTAAAAAGTGCTCTCAGACTTGAGAGCCCTGTCCTCTCTCAGCGGCTTTGCAGTCTCACTCCGTTCCTACTGAAACCAAACCCCGACTTCGCTTCCGCCGTGCGAACGCTGCACCCGCAGCCAGGCAGAGATGCGGCGGGGGCCGGGACACGGGTCCCAATCGCTTCTCCCATGTCCTATAAATAGGGAGAGAGAAAATAGATGAAAGGCACCTCGCCCCATGCTTGCGCACGCTCAGGCGTGCTGGCCGCTCTCCGACTTCTCCGTGAGGGCTCCGCATCAGCCTGGACCCGGTGGTGAAGCATTCCCTTTCTCTTCATAATGAAGGGGCTATTTTTTCGGTCACAAGAGACAAGAAAACCTCTAGTGTGAGAGACATCAAACCAACACGGTTTCCTGGTGTTACATTCTGTCTGTCGCTGATTTCTAAAGCGTATTTCG